GCCAAACTGAGCGTGGTAGCAGAAAGCATTTTTTGCATTTGCCATTTCATTGAACACAATCTAGTTGCGACAGATGACCACGTCGTGAGGCCAGACGCTAGCAGGGGTATGTCCACCTGTAGTAGACCTGTGACCCCAAACAGCGAACCTTCTCTGCATGTCACTGAAAGGAAGGAGTTGAAGAGCAGTGCTGGTGTCACATTCGGTGTAAAAGAGTCTAACGAATGTGAGAAAATGTCCATCGTTATATTATGCACATTGGAGGTTAACAGGGGGCCAGAAATGTTTGCCCTGAGGCCCCTCAGGAGGTTAATCCGGCTGTGGCTGCTGTTTGCAGGCTTGTGGTGACATTTTTTTAAATGATTGTGAGGTTTCTACATTCAACCTGCACTGGTGCAAGAAAATCAACACCACCATGTAAAAATATTCTGTTATCTGATGATGTCTGATTTTTTAGCAAAACGTTCTCAGGTTTTCAAAAGTAACCCTGTTGTGCTGCTGAGTTAGCATCAAGGTGCATCATCATGAGCATTGTCATTATTTACTAAGAGGCACTGTGCTGACTACTTTACAGTCTTTGTGATGGTTTAACCAACATCAGTTTGTCCTGTTTAGTGATTCATACGTATAGTCTCATTGTTTTTCTTTATTCACTATAACTATGTCAGTAATGAAGTAAAACATACAACATTTCCCTCTAAACTACAGTAAAACAAAGTATGAAGAATATAAAACAGAAATATTGCATCTTAAATTTGCACTGCAGAGTAGTTCTTGACTCAATATTGTTTCCACCCTTGGCAGCACATGTTGGTTTCTAAAGGCTTTCCAGGAATTTCTGGACAAAATATCTTAAATTGTGACAGTTAAAGCTCCCAGATACACCAACTGAAACACAATAGAAGACCTGTACGGCTGTTTTCTTTATTAACAGACTAAAAATAGTAATAATAATCGTTATTTCCTGAAGCCCAGACTAACAAACTGAGTTTACCATCATGGAAAACTGTGTAATTAGTAAATACTCACACTGGAAAAGCTGCTGTCAGATATTATTTACTTAAAAAAGGACTCCAATGATCAATCATGTCTCAAAATTGTTGCTAAATGATTTTCTGATGATGCTGTTTCAGATATTTTCAGCGAAATCACTTAAAATGTGACTGATTATAGCTCCGATATACTAAGAAAACTGAAAGATTTTCCTGTTGGTAGCATAGAGAAGGTCTCAAACAGCATTTGGACCATCTGAAGGAATTCAAAAACCACAAATACATTTTCATGTTTAAAACTTCCAGAAGACACACACACAAAATCAGTTTCTCAGTTTGGTTTTTATTATTTTTTGGACATTTAGCAAAATACTGCAGAAACATCCAAAGCAGTATAAGAGCTAAGAGTTACAATGAAACCAAAAAATTAAAATAATAATAATAAAAAAAGTCAAATTAAAAACATGATTGCATTCGGTTCTTATTCAAGAGCGGCTGATAGAACTCGTTGATTGCTATAATGTCACATGAACACACCGTCCTCACGCCTTTTTCATATAAGTTAAAGAAAATAAAACCATTTGGCTACATCATGAAAAAACACAGCAACAGATCACAGGTTTGACCACACAGAGCAATAATTTACACAAATAATTTAATAAATACATAAATAAATAGAAAAAAACAAAAACAAGATTAGATATACTGTATATTGGTAATACAGAAGGCTTTGTAGAAAATAATCATCATATACCCAGCCAGAGATAAATAAGTGATCAAAACAAAAACAATCAGATCAGTGGAGTTTAAGGCAGTTTTACAGCAGGAGTTTCTAATCCAAAGGCATTACCGGCTACACTAGTTTTACTCTTTTTGTTTTCAGGCGACAGCTACTGATCCACAGATCCACAAGCTATGTTAAAGCTAATCAGAGTGATGAGATAAGGTCTGTTCAGGCCTGTGAATTCTGGTTTTTATCGGCTACAGGTCGTCCCCTCTCTTAGGTCTAGGAGCTAATAGCACTTGTGCAGAGATGCTAGAAAAATAAATTAACAGTCTAACGCTTTTTAAGTGTTCCAAACGTCAAAGATCCTTTAAGTGGGGTTATGGGTCAGGGGTTCAAACACACGCACACACAGAACTGGCTGAAGTGTCCTTGAGCAAGGCACTGAATCCCTTCCAGCTGCATGTGAGCAAGTATGTAAGGACATTTCTTTTTTTCTTTTTTTTCTATGTGCTTTAAGAGTTACACTGCAGAAACATCATTTAATGGCAGTTTTTTTTAAGCCAGAAAATAGAACAGTTCCACTATATTCTCATGTAGCGTGTGCTTTTCCTTGAATGAACGTTGTAGAATAAGATAACAAATAAGCAAGTTATAAAAGAAACTTGGATTTTTGAGTTCAGTGTATGACAAGTTCTTGAAATTGGAAGTTTAAAAGTGAGTGATTTTGAACCAAATAAGTGCAACGAGACAGAAAATAAATGACCTGAAGTCAATCAGAGTTGCAGCTTCTCACCAAACCTTGATTTCAAACAAAGGAAAGCGCTTTAGAGATATTTTTGCAGTGTGACACTAAAATCCTCCCAGAAGCAAGGTTGGAATGTGAATCTTGTCATCTGACAGTGTGAAAGCAGCCCAGAGTTCCGGATCAGCAGGCGGGGCGGAGCGGCATCTGCAGCAGGATCACCTGCCGGTTCTCGGACGGGTGGCACTTGTTGATGTGCCTGGTGAGTCCCGGGGAGCTGTAGAAGACGGCGGGGCAGTATTTGCAGGGGTACACCTGTGAGGAGTGGAGCAGGCGGATGTGCCGCTCCTGGCTGCCTCTGCTGGTAAAGTTCTCCCCGCAGACGGGACACAGGTGGCAGGTGGACGAGCTCAGGTTGAGCGGCGCTGCGCTCTGCTCGCAGGCCGGTGCGTCCTCCTCCTCCACCGGCTTTGGGGAGCCGTGCTGTGACGCCAGGTGCTTGCGCAGGTACGCTTGGCGCTTAAACCTTTTCCCACACTGGTTACAATCATACAGTCCGTCCTCGGATCCGGACTCGGACGGCTCGGGGCTGGGTGTGTCCCTGTCACTAGAATCCTTCGCTTCATCCGGCGCCGTCTTCCCGGACGCGGCCACCTTGTCGCTCTCCACATTTTGCGCACCGCTCTGCGGCTTCGGTTTGTGCCACCGCCGGTGCGAGGCCAGGTTGGCCGGGCAGCTGAACACCTTGTCACACTCGGGACACCTGTACTCAACCCGGACTATCCTGGAGCACTTGTGCTGAGCCAGGGCAAACGGGTCTGCGTACGCTTCCCGGCACAGCTGGCACACAAACTCCCCCAGCGGGACGTGCTCTCCTCCGGCCGGCTGCGGTCTGGGAGGCTTCTGGTCCACCGGCGCCTCTTTGATCTTGAGCCCGAGAACCGGAGATGTGGTGACATCATCCTCAAAGTGCAGTTTCCGGATAGCTTTGGTTTTCTTGGACGGCGGTTTGCTTTTGCGCTCCGTGTCGCTGGATGGGCGTTTGGACGCGGCAGCGGCAGGGAGCGTCGCGGTGGATGTAGCGCTGGTGTCGGTGCGGCTGCTGTTGCTGGAGCCGATTTTCAGGTCCACCGGGGCGAAGATGTGGTCCAGAGCGGTGAGCGCTGCTGGTGTGGGGAAGGACTCCGCTGAAACCGGTGATCCGAGGTTGAAGCGTCTCTCGAAGTAGGAGCGGTCGTGGTCCTGGCTGACGGGGCGGGTGGGGCTGTAGAGCGCCTGGTACACCGCCTCCGGATTACCGAACTGCACAGGTTTCGCGTCCGGCTCCGGAGCAGTGGCCACCGCCCCGCAGGTGGGCGTCGGCGTCTGTGCGCGCACCGGGATGGAGGCGAGATGCGCGGAGGAGGACGGCGGCAGCGGCGGCGCATCAGCCGCTGTTTGCTCCGCTTCCTCGTCGTCGGAGCGGACCCGGTAGGACACCGGGTTGGTTTTCTTGTTCCTTTTCACCAAAAATCCTCTCGGCATGTTCGCGCTGGACGGAGAGCTGAAGGCACTTTGGACGCTGCTGCGGGGAGAAGAAATCCACTTTCAGCCGCTCGTGGACACAAACATCTGATGCGTCTTTTTTGTGTGTGTGCGTGTGTGAGTGTTTCCTCCTGCTATTGATCCCGTGTTCTCCTCCCGAGGTGCTTTCAACGCAACATAGCTGCACTCTTTTTAAGGCGACATGATGACATTGTTCCCGTCCCCCCCTTGTTGCCTCATCCCCGACCAATCAGAAGGAGCCGAGGTCCCCTGTGGATTTGGGGAGTGGGTGTGGGAGGATGGAGAGGCTGATGGAGGGGAGGAGGGGGGGTGATGGAGGGAGGATTTGCAGATTGCAAAGCAGATGTACCTGAGGGTTTTATTGTATTTCAGCCCCTCACACACACACACGCACACACACACACACACACACACACACTCTCTCTCTCTCTCTCTCTCTCTCTCTCTCGCCCTCTCTCTCCACCTCTCCACACACACTCACTCACTCTCCCTCCTCCTCCTCCTCCTCCTCCTCGTCTCGACCCGGGCACACGCCAGGAGCCTCCTGCTTTTACGGTCTGATGAGTTTGTATAGAAATCTACACGTGCCTCGGCTTTATGTGTCTCCTTTGGGTGGTGGGGGCTCTGATTTGTCCAAAAAGGAGACATCCGTCCACATAACGGCATAAAATAACAATAAGGAAAAGTGGAAAATGTAAAGCTGGAAAGTAAACAGCAGAGAAAGACAAGGTTGAGCTGATTTTGAAATAGAAACTTTGAGAGGTTTAAACACCAGTTGTAAGAAACATCAAATTAATTTCTGAGATTAAAGTGAAAATGAAACAATATTCCAATTTAAGAAAAAAAAACACCAGCAACAAAAGCTCTAAAATAAACAGAATTAGAACAGATTTGAACAGTGCGTAAACAGTTTTGGATGCTTCAACAGTTTACGCACAGAACAATGTGGTTAAATCTGGGAATAACATTACACAAATAACTAAACATCAAACACAAAAAGGGAGATTTGAAAACATCGGGGCCCTGCAGCATGTGCGCTGGCGTGACAGTTAACTCCGGACATATGAATCCGTCATTTTACGCATACATAATTAATAGCGAGAGGAGGGTTTCCTGCTTTGCATCACAATGGCTGCGCTTGTGCAAGCTGTAGACCCGCCGTGATTGAAAAGGAAATTGCACAGTTGAAAAAAAAAAAGGAGAAGAAGAAGAAGTGGGGGCCCCCAAAAAAGCAATCTGGCCCCCAGATACCGTCGGCGACGGCGCGTGCTGTGCGTAATCAGTGCGCTCTTTCTGTGTCTCCAAATGGGGCAAACCGAGATTATCTGCCGGTTAAAACACATCAAGCCCAGTTCCTGCGGGTCAAATGTGACCCGGTCAGTCGGATATGAGCCTGTCCTGCACCGTGAGGGATGATGGGATGTCACGTGGGTCGGTGCTGCCTCTGAAATGTGTTAAATGAAGTAAAGTGAAGATTTAAGCGCAAGAATAAAACAGCGCGTGCAGGTTAAATATGTTTGGAAAGCAGCAGGTTTCAGTGAATCAGATCAGATTTTTATTGATCTGATCACAGTTTCGATAGTTTGTGTGTCCAGACTGACATGTGAAATACAATCAATAACCACTTAAACATGAGCCATTATCTCATGTAACTCTGTAAGTGCCAAAAGATTAAACATAATGTTTACACTCCAAAAATCTTAATCCGCCAATCTGTCCATGTACAATTCCTAAAGTGCTATTTTATTACAAGAACTTTCAAAAACTGTCCTCTTCAGACAATATCCACTTGACTCCATTCAACTAGAATTTTCTTAAATCAGGCATTTTTCTTGATTTTAGTGCCACTACCAACCCCATACTCTGTCTCTTTCTCTCTCGGTTTTTCTTTTTTTAGAATGCAGAAATTATTCTGTATTAAAAACTGTTTAAATTAGAAAATTCTTTCATCACTTTATTACTCAAAAACACTACATTTACTTTAAAAGACTTATTTTCCACAGACTGAGGAGTTTTGTTTCAAATTTCATGTACACCATGTGATGAAAATATATTTAATATATGACACAACAAGGAATGCAGCTGGAACACAGTGCAGCAATAACAGGTGAACACACAAAAGAAGTCTATCCTGTGTTCCCTGTGTAGGCAATGAAAGAACATGTTGTATACGTGCAGTAAAGTTGCCATTAAACTACTTATATTCACTGAGAAGCACATGGACAACCCTGGGATGTCTTATTATTAAGAAAAAAAAATAAGTCTCTCAACATGGTGTTATATCTCCTAATATGTGACTTCAAACTTGGACGCCAGCAGTGTTCTGTCAGCCTGCGGGGTTGTGGTGTGTAAGTGTGGACATATGTTGTTGCGTGTGTGTGTGTGTGTGTGTGTGTGTGCGGTTATTTTTCCGACAGGCTTCAGCTCAGCCTCATTAACATACAGCTGTAGAGTGACACCCTCCTCCCTCCCTCCCCTCCTTTCTCCCCCTCCTCCAAAAAAACCACACATCCACTTTCATGTGCAGCTGATTGGTCACGCTGCTGCAGAGTCACAGAGAGCAGAGCTCACACTCGGCGTTACAGTTACTGTGGAGGACACGCTGCTGCTGCTGCTGCCGCTCGACACACAAACACTAATGTATCAGTATGTCAGAGAGTCTCTTCTGCATTTTCACTAAACTACTGCACATCACGAGTCAGATTTGCTCTGATTAACATCAAATGAGAGACTTTAATGATTAAAAAGTGAATCGGTCGGATGTGTAGTTCTGACACTGTTAGTGTGCGATAATTTAACTAAGATCAATTAAAGTGACATTTTAAAATGAAACAACTTTTCAAAGCGACCCTTTCTCCCACAAATGAATGTTTATCACTAAACGAGAAGAAGCACGACTTTTAAATCACACCACGGCCCTTTTCAGAGCATTTTGCATGTCAAGTCAACCCCTTTTCAGCTTTCTGCGAAATACTTCAGGCTATTTTGTCCCCACTGTGAAGAGATAACCTTAAATTATTAACACTTACAAGACTAGCATCTTGGCAATTGTGTCTCAGGTGGTAGGACGCTTGTCCCCTATAGTTACAGGAGTTAAGCTAGTCGTATATTTTATGCGTCGGTGAGGAAACGAGGGTCCACGTGACATAAATGTCGTCATCTCCTCTCATCCACAAGTATCCCCACAAATCCAGCCAAAAATCTGTGTTTGCATAGTGATTATGCTACAAGGAGACGAGTGCACATGCTCGGCAGAAGTGTGTATGTACACAATACATACGAGGTGTGTCAGAAAAGTTCCAGGACTGGTGTCACAAAAGATATATTTCAAATATAAACTACAAGTTTTCCCCTTCAAAGTAATCCTCCTGGAGTCTAACACACTTCCCCAGCCTTCTCTGCCATCATGCACTCCTGGAAGGATTCTTCCAGGATCCTCCACAGCTCCTTAGTCACAGCCATCTTGATGTTGTCCACGTCTTCAAAACGGGTCCCCTTGATGACCCCCTTGAGCTTGGGGAGAGGAAAAAATCCCCCAGAGCCAGGTGGGGTGAGTAGGGAGGTTGCTCCAGCACGGTGATGTTCTTCTCAGCCAGGAACTGTGGGATGCTCATTTGTGAGCAGGCGTGTTGTCATGGTGAAGCAGCCACGACTTGTCCTGCCACAACTCTCACCTCTTCTCATGCACTGAACGAAGCAAACGCCGCAGGATCTCTTTGTAGACGTGCTGGTTGATGGTCTGAAGGGGAAAACTGGTAGTTTGTAGTTTGAAATCTATCTTTTGTGACACCAGTCCTGGAACTTTTCTGACACACCTCATAGAACGGAACGGAGCTTTCTAAGTGAACTCCCGCGGACTAGAAAAGCAGTATAAAAAAGCAACAACTGTGTGTCAGTAGGTGTCCACAGTTGTCCATATTGGACACAGTAGATTATCTGCACTACAAGTGGGCCTGTCTCGCTTAGCCAGCTCACTCTGCAAAACACAATGATCCAACTGCACCTCAAAACTCTCTGGTTTGTTTGTATTTCCTGATCACAGTCATCTTGGGCGGAGCGAAGTCAAGGATGCGGCTTTGGTGCTCCCTCAAAATAGTGATGGTTGCAATTGTTTTAGTGGAACATTTGCAGGCAGGGAAGCAAGCACTGTCATTAAAACTGATAATCCAGTGAAAAAGGATTTACTTACTGTAGGACCCAAATCCAAATTTTCAGTGTGAAGGAGAAGAACAACAGAAAGCCGTCCAAATCACATAGCCACAGCTTATATCCAGTAAATCAGACTAAAATAGGAACGACTGCACATGCACCAGGCAAACCAATGGCACTCAAAACAAATACTTGTTATTTTGAGACACTGTTTGAGGAGATTCTCCTTTATAACGTCTTCCTAACCTTTTCAATTCAACACTAGAAGAGCTGTACTTGAAGTAGTCACTGCCAGACTCTACAGGTGCTTCCATTTGCACATGCTTTCTTTCGATGAAGCCCAAACACAGGAAGAAGTTCTAAGTTCTCCAGATATCCTGTGCTGTCTCCCCACTGTGCTCAACACACATCAGGAATAACCACTGACTGCATCCTGATTCCAGCCCCTTTAAATAACATAAACTTCATAATATGTTCATGTGTCAAGGTCACAGAGAGGTAAGTGCTTCTAACTCGCTGAATTCCTGCATATTAATGAAACTTTGAAGGACTTTGAGGCGTGTGCGGGTGTTTTCGGAACTTTCCCAGAGCTGTGTGTGTGTGTGTGTGTGTGTGAGCAACTTCCCCAGCAGAGTTTACTTGGACATGTTTAAACTGTAAGCTGTAAATCATTACGCAGCAATGTTCAACTTTCTTATTTATTGTGCTCTGCTGCATCACCGTACATCTGGAAAATAAAATGTGTGTGTGAGTCACCTGACCTCTGCTATTTAAACACATGTAGCAGGCTGCTGGTAGCTCTGAGATGTCACAGCTTTCCTGGGTGGGCGAACATGGGCAGCAGGTTTTGGTTGTAGATCAGATATTTTACGGCGCTGCTCCTCAGAGCCGCTCGTCTCTCTGCATCTAGAAAACTGTCTGTTGTGGGGACGTCTGACTCATCGCCCTGCAGAGACACATGGGGAGATGTAGACAGCACCTCAATGTTTGAGATTAAACTTGATGAGGTTGACATGCTGCTGGTAGAACAGGTCATCTCCTTCTGTTCACGACTCACAGTGTCCTCGGCAAAAACACTGATCTCAGATTGTTTGTGTGAACAGTGTGGAAGCATTCAACACTTTGGAGTGCTTTACAACTGCAGTAATGTCTTCATGTTAGATTCCAACCTGCCTTCATCCTGGCATTCTGTATTTTGAGTGTTGAGGATGAGGAAGAAAACAGTAATGATAAAAAGGCAAAAGAAATAAATATTAAAATGAAAGAAACAGTGTGGTGAAGGTAGCAAGAAACCATAAGGAAAGAATGAGAAATAAAGCCTTAAAAGAAAGATGATGAATGAAAGAAAACAAGCACGATAACGACAGAAAGAGCCACAAAGAAAGCATGATTTAAGACTGACAGAGGATTAACAAAACACTAAATGCTAAAGAATAAAAGTGAGAGAAAAAAATACTTTAGAAAAAAAACAAAAAAGAATGAAAAAGAAAAAGAAAGAAAAAGACAAGAAGTAGTAATTTCATTCATTGACAAAACAAAACAAACAAACAAACAAAAAAACCCTATTTCAATTCAATACAGTACAATACAATACAAAGTTTCCAATGAATGAAAAGGGAGCAGAAAGAATAAACTTATGCAATCTGCCCCTTTATAACAATCAGGGAAAATAAGCATTAAAAACAAACAACAAACAAAATGACTAGAGAAGAACAAAAGAGACAAAGTGAAAAATAAAAAGACAAAGAAAGTGACAAAGGAAAGAAGAAAGAAAAATGAAAATGAACAAAAGGAAGAAAATGAAAAACAAAAAAAAAAGGAGAAAGAAAGAAAAATTTAAAATAAAACAAAAGGTGAAAAGATGGATGAAAAATGAAAGAAAGAAATAAAGAAAGAAAGAAAGAAAGAAAGAAAGAAAGAAAGAAAGAAAGAAAGAAGAGCCTGAGATGAGTCTAAATCCCTTCACAGCGGAGCACTAACCTCCAGTGTGTTTGAGGTGATCTGTCGAACCTCCTTCTCGAAGTCGGAGAAACGGTCGTGGAAGATGGCCATACACCAGCTCTCTCTGAAGAAACTGCAGGAGACACATTCACACAGCATTTACAACATCTGCTGTGTTCACCCAGTCAGTCATCCCACTGCAGGAGGACAGCAGAGCGCTACTGCTAACGGACGTCTAAAACAATGTGTCACAGTGAGTGTTGAAAACTGATCCACGACATTTAAAGCAATAATTTGCCTCCTCTCAGTTTAGGAACAAATCATTTAATCTCTAAAGTGACACAAAAACTGTCCACTGACACCAAACTGGCAAAGTTGGTTTAGTCTCAGCATATTTTTAAGATTCACCAAATTATAAGATATGTTCTTGTAGGGCCCACCACTAGAACCACTGATGATACATACACACAGTATTGTCATTTACCTCTAGTGGTGAGTCGTCATACAGATAGTTTTGGTTTGATTCATCTCACGAATTACAGTTTTTTGAGGGAAAGTTTCTTTGGCAGAAATGAGGAAATCTGCTGACACTTTACACAGCGTATAATCTAGAGTGACACTGTTTCTACGAAGACATGCTGCTTTTTCCTTTCCTTTCTTTTCTTTTTTAATCTGTATTTTCAAAACTGTAAAAACACAAAAAATTAATTCAGTTAATCCATTGTTGTGTTTGAAGAAAGATTCCCAAGACGGACATTTCAAAATCTGGACACGAAAAAGAAAAAATAAGTTCGATTGCTTGTTATTAATTAAAACTAGGGATGCACGATATATCGACGACCACATCGGTATCGGCCGATACTAGTGTTTTTTCTGTTATATTGGTATCGGTCCGATAAACAAGTTTAGTCGATGTGAAAAACGGCTGATTGTCGAACATTAGCGCCTTCGTCTCTACATTTGATATCGCTGCTATTTCGCAGATGTTTTTACTTAAGTGTTCCTGGACTTGAACGTTAAATATGTTTAAATACGATGAAATACGTTTTACTTTTGTTACGTAATAAAAAAGAATGTGTGGTCTAATTTCTTTTGAAAGTCTTCACGTTCTCACAGTGCGTACTTATACTCATTTTTCAGTGTGAACAAAAATTTAATGTCGTCATCGATAATATCGGTTATCGGCGATATTAGAAAACTTAATGTCGGATATCGTATCGGCCAGAAATTTTAGTATCATGCACCACTAATTAAATCAGAGGCTCTACTGTTCGCATTTTAGACATCTATGATTTGTTGGCACCCTCACCAAAGCTACATCACATAGTTCAATTTACAGAACTGTTGGGGGTCCCAAAGAAAAAAAAACTACAAAAATGTTCTTTTTTCCTGAGCACTTGACTAAACTGTACAGAAGGCAGAGAGCGAGTCTATTATGAGACAGTAAATGATATATTACCTAATTTTTCTTTTACTTTGGATGCTTTAAGTATATTTTTTGTTTCTGTAATTTAGGTTCAGAAGCCAGTATGCAGGAATCCAGTACTTTTCTATTGTGGTATCAGTGGTTTTAAAAGGGTCGAGAGAAGAGATGATGGACTGTGGAGGAAGAATTCAGAACCTGATGCACAGTTCAAATACTCTCAAAGTAAGTCTGACTTTAGTAAAAGTGTGCAGATAAAAATTTTAAATTATAAACCAGCAACTGCAGCTGTCAGGTAAATGAAGTGACGTAGAAAGTGCTGTATTTACCAATGAAAAGTATCGGAAAGTAAAGAAAGTGGTATAAAAACACTTGTTTAAAGCACCTCAAATCTGTAATTAGCCACAGTGCATGAGTAAGTTCACTTTGTTAACGTCCACTACTGGGAACTTTCACTGTAATTTGTGTGAACTGGCTCTTTATGTGAAAGGCTCCAGCATCCAGAAGCTGCACTAACTGTGCTGACTGAATAACCCCCAGCCGACACACGGTCAATCAATTATTTTAACGGCTCCTGATGCTCCGTCAGCCTCCACAATGACTTTACGAGTCAGCTGAGGGAGCGGCGTGACGAGGAATCAGCCTCTACAGCGGGGAGGCTCCGGCTTTGTCTCGTCCTGCGCCGGCCACAATGACAGATTGGGGAGCTGCATAAACAGATTAGGAGGCGGAGGGGGGGGGACAATAGACGTCCATGTCTGGGGGTCATTTGTGTTGAAACCTCAGAAGCAGGTCACCCGCTGTTTGACAAACACGCACACACCACAAAGTCACACCAGCAAACACAGACAGCGAGAGGACAAAAGACAGCAGATCTCTCTTCTCGTGTGTTGTTTTGACCGCCGAAGTCATCAGTCGGTGGACCCACGATGCGAGGAAGTTTCACTACCTTTCTGAGAGTGTTTCCTCCTGAAGCAGTGAAAGTGGCTCATTATTATTACACAGAACCTGATCATGAAAACATCTGTTTCCACGAGCTTGACCACCTGCTGTCTGTCTCATTTCAGAGCAAAAATCCCAAACTGAAAAACAGCAACATGTTTTTTCTCGTGCATACATAAAATTATACTACTGGGGGCTGGACAGAATAACAGAAACACAGTTGAAGACATAATAACAATGCAGAACACACCAATGCCTAGAAGCTGCTTTGTCATTTTGTTGTCAACAAACTAAAAGCAGACATCATTCGGCAAACTGATCATTTCCACCGGTCTGTTGAAACTGTAAGTTGTTTGTTCTGATGTTTGTTTACCTTCTGCATCGCTGATTTTTAAAAAAAAACTCCAGGAAAGGATAACAGTAAAGAAAAATGTCCCTTCTTCTGCTGTTATTTATGATGCTGGAGCTTTTTTATTTTCTGATGAGGAACTGTAATTCATATTCATGATTTAACTGCAGCTAGTGATTAATTACGCCTCTCAGATTTCAACAGCCTGGACAGGAGAAATAAACGCATGGGCGTGAAAATCAAAGAATAATTTTGGTGTATTAACAGATTCTCACTGGTCTGTCAATTGCTGCTATTGGTGACAGAAAAAAACAACATGAAAGTGAAATGAAGGTGAAAAGTGATTTTTTTCCCCCTTCAGTTTTAAAAAGCACTTACTTTAAGTTTCACCTCCAAATGAAGTGCTTTAGATAATCTGGATACTTGTACTCTCATGGTGTTAAAAGGAAATTCTCCGGTATAGAGGAATTTCCGGGACCCCCAGGGAGGTTTTATCCACCCCAAAAGAAAATCATCATAATATCAATATGAAAAAAATTAAGTTGAAAACAGTAATTCTGTGTTTTTAACCAGTTTGATTGACTCAAGAATAACACATTTTTATGATCCAATTGGTCGGAAATAACAGGAAAATGCACAAATTTCAGCCAAATAATAACTAAATAGAAGTTTTTCTTGAAAGTAGTTCTAATAATTAACAAATGAAAACAATGAATCTACAGGGAAATATTCGCTGAATCTGCAGCTCCCTCCGCTTCACAGAGCTGCAGTAGCTTTCAGCTCATTGCTCAGCTGCAACTTTACTAAAACTTCGCTGTTTCTCCGATCTCATAACATCATTTTCAGTTGGTGCCCGCTCTCTGTTCTCTGAGACAAGCTTGTAAACACAGTAGAGCCTTTAGCAGCAGAAAATCCAGATATTTCATTTAGGAGTTGGTAGAGACCAAAAATAAAGCTAAAAGATATCAGATATGAGGTCTATATGTAAGTAAACACAATCAGGAGTTCATCTGAATGTTGCTCTGTAACTGCTGGATGTGTAATAAGCAAGCAGTTGTTCACTATAGCAAGTTCTAATGACGCCCCAAAACATTCACGGTCAGCAGACTTTAACTTGCTTCTATACAAACTACAATTGCAAGTCCGCATACACAAACATATTCTGCACATGGGCAGTCGTACACATGATGGTGAACTCCAGGCAGCAAGAAAAAAGAGCTTCTTTTGTGCAAATGTTTGCCAAGGATGTGAAATACGAGGTGTCTCAGAGAAGTTCCAGGACTGGTGTCACAAAAGATAGATTTCAAACCCAAACTACAAACTACCAGTTTTCCCCTTCAGACGATCAACCAGCACGTCTACAAAGAGGTCCTGTGGCGTTTGCTTCGTTCAGTTGCCGAGAAGAGGTGAGAGTTGTGGCAGGACAAGTTGTGGCTGCTTCACCATGACAACCTGCTCACAATGCCCTGAGCATCCCACAGATCCTGGCTGAGAAGAACATCACCGTGCTGGAGCAACCTCCCTACTCACCTGACCTTATTCCATGGGATTATGGGTCATCAAGAGGACCCGTTTTGAAGACATGGACGACATCAAGATGGCTGTGATGACAGAGCTGAGGAGGATCCCAGAAGAATCCTTCCAGGAGTGCATGGCGGCGTGGCAGAGAAGACTGGGGAAGTGTGTTAGACTCCAGGCGGATTACTTGGAAGAGGAAAACTTGTAGTTTGTAGTTTGGATTTGAAATCTGTCTCTAGTGACACCAGTCACCAGACACACCTCGTATAGTGTGTACATCACTGTTTTTACTGTTTACTTACACATTAATTACTTTAATTTACAACCTGTACATAACTAAAGTCATACTGTTCATTTGCACTTTAAGCCTTACTTCACTTCTGGGTTGATACAAACTGTATTTTCCTTGAAGGTTTATTAAGTGACATGTCATACATGCCTCATACAATGCCTCAAACAAGTGTCAGTTTGTCTTTTCTTGGCTCAGCTTGTTGTGTGGGCAGCCAATGTGGTCTTAAATCTTGGTATGATAATGGAATTTGTGGTCTACAGACACATGCTGAAGTAGAAACTATGAATTGGAGGTTTAAAGTTTTTGTATTTCTCTTTAAGTTCATTATTTACAAAATGGAAATATTGACTTGATTCTTTTCAGATATGTTATCATATGGATAACATATACCTACAGATAACTGTCAAACAGTAGCTGTCTGTCCCACCTGTACAGGTCGTGGATCAGGCCCTCGTGGTAGCGTCTCAGCAGCTGGCACAGCAGCTGCTCGTGTTTCCCGTACAGACACAGGTAATTGGAGACGGGGAGGGGCTTCAGGGACAAGCAGGTGAGCGTCTCCACCCGCTCATACTGGTCGAGATGCAAACAGAAGTAGTCGCCCGTCTCCACTCGTCCCGTCACAATCCCTCCGTCCTGGAGCTTCACACAGACGAACACACGAGTTAGTGAGCATTTTTTTTAGGTTTCGTAAGTGTGGCAACAGGGTGGCGTCTGTTGGACCGAGGCAAAACAAACTACAGTGTGTGCTTTCATATTAATAAATGAACACATCAGACCGTGCAACAGGGTGGCTCAATGACGTGCTGTTATTGGCAATACAATATGCTTGCTGTCACCAGGCAGTCAGTGCTTTTTATGGAATTCATTGACTGTTCATTGACTAACGATCACAAGACTTATTCTGTAAACAAATACCATTCCAGTACTTGTATGGGTACATCAATAATACAGCTAGTCACTTTGGGAACTACATCTGACTAATGTGGCTCAAAATGGTTTTGTTACATGTGACATATCTTTATTCCTAGGTGAATGCAAAACTGGAAATTACCTGTTCAGATTTTGGTTGTTCTGACACCCTATGTTCCTAATTCTTATATACAGTTGTCCTCAAATGTATTCATACTCTCCCATTAAACTGAAATAAGGTGAAATTGACAAAAGTAATAATAAATAAAAATTTTATGAAAACAAGGACATTGATTTTGAATTATGGTTCAACAGAAATATTAAAAAAAAAAAAAAAAACTCCCGACAGGTATTTTGATTTTGGCCCACTGCTCATCAGCAAGTGCTCTAATTTGTCCAGGAGAGTTTAGTTTAGTTTAGTTTTTTAAAATTATTCTTTTCAACCACAATTCAAAAGCAATGCATTCTGGTGTTTTATTGTTTTTTTCTTTCTGTACATCATTTTAGAAGAGTTGACAAGTCCAAACCATAAATAAACCACGAGAGCTGTTTCAGTGTGTGGACCAGAGGAAACCCTGACATAGAGCAGAACAGAAATAGTTTATTGATGCCCAAGGGGAAATTGTGTTGTTACAGTAGCAAGTAGAAAGAGTAAAGTGACCACCACCACAATATCAATAAATAAGAAAATAGAAAAATATACTAAAATATACTATACTACAAAATGCACAAAATACACTGTGGATAAAAAAAAATGTACTAAAGTGAAAAATGCACCATCAAGTGTCAAATGCTAACAGTGAAAATATACTATACGTGAGGAAATGAAAGTCCTGTAAACAGCAGTGCAACATGTGTGAGTATGGTAGATAACTGCAAAAACCACGACATGCTGAACATCAAGAACTTACATGTTTAACATCAAGGCCTGTCAGGTCGGTGGCAGCTGGTTTGGTAACATGAAGGTAGTTGTATCCTCCAGGAAGCTTTCCACCTGAAGAAAGAGGTAAAACACACACCACAGGTTAAATATATAAAGTTTGGTGCCACGTCCCATGTATAGGGGCTACAGTCCCTGATGCAGCGGTCATGGGTTTGAGTCCTGCTTGTGGTCCTTTGCTGCAGGTCTTTCCCCCATTCTTCTCCCCCTACTTTCCTGTCTCTCTCTCTCGCTCTGTCCTATCTAATAAAGCTAAAAAAGGCCAAAGAATATCTTTCCATTGTGGGAGGAAGCCAGAGAACCCAGAGAGAACCCACGCTGCACGGGGAGAGCATGGAAACTCCACGCAGAAAGATCCCGGGTGTCCTCACCAGGACGCAAACCGGCGACCTTCTAGCTGTGAGGCGATGGTGCTAACCACTGAGCCACCTTGCAGCCCTGCACTTAATATATTAAGCAGAAATGCACAATACTTTTCATCCACACCCTCTCAGATGTAAGGTTTATATAAATTTAAATTGAGATTTTGAGTGTAGGTTTTGCAAAACAAGGCATTTGGAGATTTTGGGCTGATGGCAATTCACTGACATTTTATAATATAAATAAGCGATAAATCTGAAGTCATTGTGCTTTTATCAGCAGAAGATATTGAAATAAGTTGAAACAAGAGCAGAATCGACATAACACACATTTTACTGTGAGCATCCATCCACCGGAGAAAACAGAACTGAAACTATGAACTCAGATAACAGGCGGTGATATGGCATCTCTGCTCTCCCTGAACATTAAAATCCCTCTGAAAAGTTCACGTGTGTGTCATCCCTGTGTGAAGGACAGAGCGGAGTGGCTGTTGTGTTTATGTAACCTGTGGAGTGGCCTTGGGTGCTCTGTGAATGCACTGCAGCACAATACGACATTGTTTCGCATTGCTGTGCTTTAAGTGTCCCTCGCAATAACATCGTCAGTGGGTGGGTGCGTAAAAGATTGGAAATTGTTTCACAAAAGCGTCATTAAAAAAAATACTGGCAGTGCAAATTCTCTCAGATGAAATCAGACAAAAACATTGATGCACAGGAAGAAGGACATAGAGGAGAGTATTGAGGTGACAAACTGTGAAAATACAAGTAAGCCTGAGATCTGCTGATGAATGTGAAGGAATTTTCTGTTTGTGATAAACCGATTTCTTTCATTCAACGGTAGTTTCCATCAGAAAACTGGTTCACATCTAGTTCCCTAGTGTGATTTAGAACAAAACTAAAATCCATCCATCCATTATCTATACATAACTTAATCCTCACTAGGGTCGTGGGGGGCTGGAGTCTATCCCAGCTGACTCAGGGTGAAGGCAGGGGACACCCTGGACAGGTCACCAGTCTATCACAGGGCCACACTTAGAGACAGACAACCAAGCACACTCACATTCACACCTACAGACAATTTAGAATCACCAGTTAACCTCAACATGTTTTTGGACTGTGTGGGAGGAAGCAGGAGAACCCAGAGAGAACCCACGCAGCACGGGGAGAACATGCAAACACCCTGCAGAAAGACCATACCATTCCATTTGCTCATTGCACACCTCTATGCAAGATCCATAACTTGCTCAAGTAACTCCAGTGTTACATTAAAGTTCGGAAAAAATTTGGTGTACCTTTTTGTGTGGCAGAGCAGTACCAGAAAATGTTACATGATCTAAGCTCTTAGTACTTCATGTCTTGTATAACCATGAAACTCTCTCAGATGAATCATCAGTACAAAATATCTCAGTCTTTGAAAAAAATGTCAAAGGAACAACACTGTGCACATAAAAGCTGAGGGACGCAAGCCAAACACAAAATCAGTGGAGCATTTCTGGAAGAAATCCAACTTCCACCAAAACTTTAAACTATCCAGACGGTTGAGGAACATCGAGGATATCATTAAAAGAAAATGTTCACACAGGAATTCATTGTTAGCAGCCAGCAGCTTCTCACAATAATAATCGCACAGAGCAAATCAAAGCTGAAGTACGTTACCTTGAATCTTGGCTTGTTTGTATGTGGGCACAAGATAATCCATTTCAGGTGGCGTCTCGTCCGCAGGCTCCAGCGTTGGGTCAAACTGATGCAGCAACATGGCTGCGAGTTCCTGGCCCAGTTCCTTGGAGTTGAAGTCGGCGTGGGACCACTCTGTGTAGTAGCGGCGGGAGAATTTGGTGAGAGGCCCGGCACCGTAAATGGATGGATCGTTGGTGCCGAAATTGGAGTTTATAACAAGTCTGCTATCAAAGACCAGGAAGGACTTGTTGATGCTCTTGAAGGCATCATAGTCAACGCCCTTATTGGAGAGGTTGATAAATACCTGCACAGAAAAAAAATAAAAAATTTACGATCTCCAGGTACACATTTCCCACAAACCAATGTGTTAACATTTGTTCCTACTTGCCCCCCTCAGCATTCCTGGTTTTTGTGTGGCAGGCTAAATCTTGACATTTTGGGAAATGTACTTCTTCTTACGAAGACAGACTTCAGAAAATCAATGCTGCTCTCATATCTGTCTGCTAAATATGAGCTACAGCCAGCAGACATCTAGCTTCGCTCAGCATAGAAACTGGGAGCAGGGAGGAAACGTACCTTTCAAAAGTTAACAAAATACACCAAAGTTCACCAATCAACACATTCAGTCTTGTCTAATTGATATAAAAAAGCAGTGTAAAACCAAGACAGAGCAGGAATTAACCTGGGACAGTGGTTAAAGCAAGACTATAATTTATCCAGGAGACACCATAGAATAGAGCACGGGTTAAACCAGAACAAATCCTGAGATTACCTCGGGATAAAGTATGGATTATTCTGAGACTATGTGGTGAATAACGGGAGTAAACAAAGCAAGAATGAGTCTGAGAAAGACCACAGCTTACCCCCGAGTGAGTCTAGGAATTAACCTGAGACAGACCAGAGACTAATCAGGGTGAATCTCGAGATCTGGAGAAACAGGCATCAACTCAGGTTAAACCAGGGATTAGCCTGATAACAAACAACAGATTAATGTGATATAAAATAGGAAATCAACCTGAAACAAACTGGGGATTAAACCTGGAGAAACCAGGTATTAAATCAGGAAAGATCTGTCATTAAGCTGATTCACACCAACAGCGAACCTTTGACAGACCAAGGATTAGCCCATGCACAGCAGACTGGTGTGAACAGTGGTCACTGTGAGATTAGGAGGCAACAAGCTGAAGTTTATTGTGCCTTTAAAACAAAAGAGACTTCACGGACAGACATGTTTGAGCTTGAATTCAAAAAGTCGACAAGGTGCCCAGAATCATGAGGACTGTGTGATTTAGCAAATACAAGCAAAAAAAGAAAAACAAACTATTTAAACGAAATGAAACTTAGTGATTAATATAGTGAAGGAAATTGTTTCCTAAGTTATTGTTAGTGGAGCCTTAAGACAACACTGAGTATTTCCCCTGAGGCTTTACAAATATGTTGAACACATTTCTTTCCTCAACACACATCTGCAAAGCCACATTTCTGAAAGTTTTGGAACACTGCGTCGCACTACATAAAATAGTTAAATGCAGAATATAACAACGGGGGCTACACCTACAGCGAAATGTAAAAAGATAACAACAACACAAAGCAGACAGCAGAATCCTCCTCTGTCTGAGACAATGGAAATGATGGAAATGGGAAACACACCAAAATCATTTTGTGCTTGACAAATACAGTTTGCTTCCAGGAGGGAAATTAACATCCAACCAACAGCCACACGCTGGTGAATTCAGCCTGTTGAGCTTTTCCAGCTCCACCAGACACCTTGGCGAAGACCCCACCATTGTTTAGCTATTGTTTCCTTTTGTAAAAAAACAAAAACAAAAAAAACAACTAATAACTGGCTGGGTAAGCACAGAAATCATCCAGAGGATTTTGAAAAATCATCAAAAACTTTGACTCACTCCACACTGCAGATGGAGAGGCTCCGCGCCAGTGTTGAATGACACCGATGTGAGAGGGTCGGGGTGTTCGCCGTTGTTCATCTGAGCCAACACGCAGTCGTGGTGGATCTGGACCTCAGCGCTCCCCATGGCCCTCGCCACCGCCTTATCTATGGCTGGGTCCGTGAAGCAGAACATGCCAGGCTTGGGAGGTGGGAGGACTAGATGGATACGAGATCCACGGATGCCAAGACTGAGCAAAGTCTCCACGGTGGTGTAGACATCAATGCTGTTGCCGTAGACAATGGCATTATCTGGAAACAGGAGAGGAAAGAACAATTAGCAGTTCGTGGTGTTTCCAAGTGTCTCCAACTTTTTCCAAAAATGAGGACTCAGGCAGCAACAGTCATGGCAAGGACTTGAGATAGCAAATTCTAAAACATACATATTGAATGCCATTGGACTGAATCAAATATGTGAAACTTTACCTCATTTAAAAGCCTCATAATTTAAATGGCATAAACCAAAGTCAGTAGGATCCATCCTCTGAGGAACATGGGTATCTGGATAAAGTTACTCAGCATTCTATCCAATAGATCAGGGGTGTCAAACTGCGGTCCTCGAGGGCCGCAATCCTGCATGTTTTAGACGTTTCCCTCTTCCAACACACCTGATTCAAATGATCAGCTCATCATCAAGCTCTGCAGAAGCCTGATAACGATCCTGATCATTTGAATCAGGTGTGTTGGAAGAGGGAAACACCTAAAACATGCAGGATTGCGGCCCTCGAGGACCAGATGTCGACACCCCTGCAATAGATATTTCACTCTGGATCACAGTGGATCAAAGCCAGCAAACTAATGGAGCCATTCTTACAAACACATTGACAGCAAGGCACTGATAATCACCACTAAGCAGAATTATCTATACATAAACTCCACACTGCAGATGGAGGTCTATATATTCTCTATAAGTCTATATATATAGCTATGTTTTTTTTTCTCGTTACAGAGGCGTGATGCAAATTATTCAACAGGAGCTCAATCTGCTCGGGTTTTCCAGGCCCTCAGAGGCCCTCAGCTTCCTCAACAATGAACCACAGATGCACCAAGACAAATACAAAATCAAACAATGTAAATGTGATGAGCATGTGAATGAGTTTTCCATGAGTGAATCCATTCTTTGATGAATACTCTTCAGTTCAGAGAAGCCTCTTCATATTTTACAGAACATACACTCCTCATCTTTCACTGATTGTATTAAATTTTAAAGGACATTGTCTGGACCAGCTGGTCTGCCATCACAAAGGTCTGAGACAAAGACAGCCCAACCTGAGTTTTAATATGTACGTGAATTTATGTGGATCCGAGTAAACACATGAAAAGGAGCAGAAAAACCTGAATGTCTAGCCATGATTTCTTCTAACCAAACGTATTCTCATAATCTTATCCACCATATTCCTAGCACAGCAATGCCTTTGCCTTAGAGGAAACTTTCAACATTTTGGAAAGCAGGCTCTTCATATTTTCTTTTCGAACGTTGTGTAAGAAGACAAACACCACTCAGATGTGCAGGTGTTTTTTGTGGCAGTTGATGATGAGGGACTTGAGAGAAACAAGGTTCTGTTTCACCTCAAAAACAATGCAACAAGTAAAATAACTACATATTCTACTGTGTGTTATCTGAGGCATTTTTTCCCATTCTGTCTTCCATCTCTTTATGGTGGGAGTCAGAGGTGTGATCACATAATTCTATTCAATTTACTTCCATTAAAATTATTTCTTGCCACAGATGGCATCATTTTCAGTTATTTTTTTAAGCAACTAAAAAACAAAGCTGAACAAAAATTTTAGGAATCAACCAGTCAAGTGTAGTTTGACTCACCAGATGCAGACTGTGGGTGTAAGTCTAAAGCAAATTTCATGTAGGATTCTCCTCCCCTTCTGCTATCTGTGTGCTAGCATTTTCAAAATCTCCTCTCTTGCTGCAAACAACTACAATGACCTCCGAGCAGTAAACTACACGTGAAAATGGCAATTTTACCAAAGATTTGGATTGTGCAGTGAGACAGGCCTGCTTGGTTCTTTCAGTGAATCAGCCAATTTAATGACAGTGTTCGCCTCCCTATGTTCAAATGTTTTCAACAAAACAGCTGCATTATGCTGCGGGGACACTGTCCTGGGCTTAGCAGCAGCAGAGATTAATTTGATTGGTTTAAAGAAATACTAACGAGCCACATAGCATGATTTTGATGAGGTGCAGCCAGACCATTCTCCAGCATTGACATAGTTCTGTTGAGGTAGTGCAGATCTGGTTATTCAAGATATTCAAGATTAAGTGTAGTTAACATGAGTGTGAGTGTGTCGGAGGCTTCACGGGCTGCAGTTCATGGTCTCTGTCCGTGGTGCTGAATGAGAGGAGGCTCAAGTCATACATGTAGCCCAATATCATAGAGTTGCTTTGCCGGTTCTTACAATCTGATCAGAATGAAACCAGCTCTCCTGACACAAGCCACTTAGATAGAAAAGAAAAACTCTTTAACACGGAAAAAAAAAAAAAAAGGAAAAGAAACCACAGGGTCCAGAAAGTAAGAAAGTACAAACAGCAAAAGACTTTTATCTAAGGTTTTCAACTTAATGGAACAGTGTGCCTTGACTTTTTATTTATTTTTAAAGTAATGCCCTTTTGTAGTGAACATCGATTATCTACATATGGAACACTTGTGCAGTTCAGCACTTTATTTTTATTTTTATTTTTTTAATCGATCCTTTTTTCTGTTTAAAAATAATTAAAAAAACCCTCATATATCATTGTCCTCTTTGCCAAAGAGCTCCATTGTTGTCCAGAAAAATTAAAAATACATCAGTGAGCCACACTGTTGCACTATGGTTGTGTACTCCTTCATCAACATGAACACAAATCACAGTTTATTTGAATAAATCCCACATACGCCGTCCTGCTGCCACAAATACTCACAAGGTCAACAAATGTGGATTTATCTGCCACTGAAAACAGACCTCATCAAATGCTCTGTTTGCTCCTGTTTCCTCGATAAAAAATTACAGTTTTGAGCTGTTTTTTTATCCCTCTATTTGCTACTTACATGACCTCCACCCATTCATGTACAGTTCCCATCCACATCTCATGCACTTGTCATAAGTTGCTATTATGTCATTTGGTTGTTTTGCACCGCTTTGTGTCGTCTCTACTGCATCTATTTTAAAAGATTAAACTGCATGTTTATGAGCTGTTTTTAAAGATTTGCTTCATTGTGAATGACATTGGACCTGAGAGTCACAAACAGGGTAGGAAAATTAGACCGTGTTGGGAGAAGAACTCAAACATTGTTGTTTTTTGTTTTTGTATTTTCATTGGATTTGTGTTCAATGATAAAAATATTCTTGATAGCTGCTGCTGAGACAGAACAGATATGACAGCACCACTGATTTCAACTATGGGCATCAATTTACATACACTTTCTATTTCCTTATGCTGTTATTATTAAAATATGGAAATAAACATGATATCTGCAAAAGTCTGCCACCGCAATTTGCATTTATTAATGGTTTTCCTTTATGACAGGGATCAGCTAATTAGTATGTATAAAAGCCTCACTCTAGATCACTGCACAATTCCTTCAGAGAGCAGATTAATTTTGCTTAATGACACTGTGTATTTTCTCTGCTCTGAAAAGCCTGGCTCTCAGAAAGTGATATGATAATGGAAAATGGATGGAAGAGGCCGACCTGATTCACAGAGATGAAAGATTTCTCTGTAGCTAATTAGCTGCTAATTATACCGGGGCACTTCAGCAATGACTGGCTGAGTAATGACATACTACTACAGATTAATTTTAGGTGCTCCGTGTGTGTGTGTGTGTGTGTGTATGTGTGTGCGTGTGGGGGAGGTTTTTCACTTACCCTCCAGCTCCACAAAGTTGGCACACAGCCAGCGGCGAGCAGCCACGCAGTCGTGGAGGTCGTTGAGGGTGAAGAGGTTGGAGGGGACGGGCCCGGAGTATCTGCCGTGAGCGGACTGAGGCGGCAGCTGGCTGTTTGTGACGGGCTGGCAAAGATCCACGCCAGCGGGACAGGGCACCTACAGCATCACATCACACACACACACACACACACACACGGACCGATTTACATCAAATTTCACTCATACTTTACATTTTAGAAAATGTGGTGTAAATGTGGTGTAATCTTCAGCCAGAAATTAGGGAGGACTGGGGGACGTGGTTGTAGGATGAAACCGCTTGAAAAACAGCGATAAAGCAACTAAATGCACATACACTCAAAGGTACACATCTGAAATCTATGCAATCCAATACAACAGCTCTGCCATCAATTCTACTGTTACCCCGCTTATACAATTTCAGTTTTTAATGTATTTGTCAGAAAGATGATAATTGTCTCATACCTTTATTACTGAGCTCATAGTGGCTGGTGGTGTTTTACTGGACTGCTTTAGACTGAAGTGTGCTCCTAATAGTTTGTCTAACATACATGAAGAGGGAAAGTATTGGGAACACTACACTCAGAAGATGAAAAGCACCGACTGTGTGGTCATCTAACCTGGTACTGCAGGCCTGTGCAGAGGATGAGGTGGTCATATTGCACCTTCTTACCACCAGACACCAGGATGTATTTGGACGTCCTGTTGATGCCCACCATCTTCCCCGTCATCACACTGATGCAGGAACGCAGAGGCATCTGGGCCAAGTCTCTGCTGCTGTATGCATGGCTGTAAGAAGCACAGAAGAAGAAATGTGGATTAGGAAACTGAAATTTACAGACACTAAGATTACTATGCCTTCAAACTATTTGGGAAAGCCCAGATGATGATGTCATGGCTTTGGAAGCTTTTAATAGGTTAATTGACAACATTTGAGTTAATTGGAGGCAAACCTGTGGATATATTTTAAGGCACACCTCAAACACACTGCTTCCTTTTGTGACAACATGGAAAATCTAAAGAAATCAGCCAAGATATTGTAATAATAGAGAATTGTGGACCTCCACAAGTCTGGTTCATCCTTGGGTACAATTCCCAGATGCTTGAAGGTTCCACATTCATCTGTTCAAACAATTATACACAAGTATGAACACCATGGGAATGTCCAGCCATCATACCTCTCAGGAAGGAGACGGGTTCTATGTCCCAGAGATGAAGTGTTTTGGTGCGAAACTTCTGGTTTCAACTGTAGATGTTCATACAGTGGGTTTCAACAGGATTTGGTAGTTTGTAGCACACGGTAAAATATTTCATATATTTTAAATAAAACAAAAAAACCCCATCTATTTATGTAACAGTATTATTTGCAAATGCAGGTTGAGAGATGTGAGGATGTCTCTCAAACTGCATGTGTATACTCAGATTTTTGACTATGTGCATAAATCTGTAAATGTGTCATCTGATTGATGAATCTGCAAATTCAGATTTGTGTTCTGAGATTTAAATGAAGTGCAGATTTTTGCAGATCATTTTATGAATGTATAAATCTTATTTGTATTTAAGGATTTGTGTACCTTTTTTAAAGTTACAGTACACATTTTGAAGTCTGTGTACACCTTTGCTGAGATATATATTTACAGTATATCTATATACAGCTACATCACACAGCATACATTTACATCTACAGATTTGTGCTCATGTTACTGATCTCAGTACGCACTTATATAATCATGTACTTTAAATTTCAGCACACTTGTAGATCTGAATATGTTTTCTCAGATTCCTGTACTTTAGTAAACCTACAGTACATACTTACAGATTAAAATACAACTCTCCCAATACATCTGCATAATTTCTTTCTTTTGGTAAAAATGAAATCAATATTTAAAATAAAAAAAAACACCATGTTGTATGTTACCTAAGTGCACCAAATTCAGACAATATTGTTGTTACTTCTTCTAGTTAGATGCTTTTATAACTGTCTCACAGTATGCTGACATTCACCCAATATGCTTGTGAACAGAGACGCCACAACATTTCTGTTTTCATGTCTGATGCTGTTTCACTCACTCACCTTGTGGACAAAAATCCGACGTCCTCGTGGTTGCAGTCGCTGGGGAAACCATGTGTTGAAATGAGGGTCAGGCTGTTGAACCTCAGGTGAGGGCTGTAAGAGAACAAACAACACTGAAAAGCATGAGTGCTTTTCCACATAATGCGGTGAACACATACAGTGTGAGAGGAATGTTCTCTGAGGGAGGACGACAGCTTCCACAGCAAGTATGTTCTTCATCCAGACATGTGCTAAAGCATTTTGACTAATGTCAGGCAAGTCAAGAGGAAAATAAAACCACACAGCTATACATTAACCCAGTAGTGCGCTGACAAAGATGTTTGGCCCTCGTTATCTTTAGAAACCAGCTGCTCCTGTTGAAAGTAATCGTGTTGAAAATAAAAGAATATGAGCTCAAACAACAACTCAGACATGTCTAGTAGGATCAAGGATTAGAGACTTGAAGCTGTCTATTTCTGTGGGGAAAAAAGAGTAGCAATATGTAGATCAAAACCTAAGATGAGCCATGGGTTGAAGTATGTTGTTTTTGATACACTTAAATATAAAGATGAAAAGAATACAGTATAACAGAGACTAGAACATGCAAGACTTATATAAAATTGGCCGATATATCCATGTATACAGGTGCCCATAAAGTTGGAATAAAGTATTTGTTCTACCTCTCTCAAAACTTTATTGATATCACAATATACATACAATATATATCACAGTAAAAATTAAACTACAACTAACTTTTGCAAACTGTGTATTCAGGCTTAAACTAAATTGGAGTATTGAACAATAGGATGAAGGTTTTTTTTTTTTCATATTGAACACTAAACACAGGAAACATCCTATAACAGGAAACATATTCGAGGGGATTTCATGCATCAGAATGTCCAATATTACTATTTCAAATGTCACTAATGTTGAGCATGGCCACCCCTGACATGGATCAATACATTAAGACATGGTGGCATACTGTCCACAAGCTTGTTGATGGTGTCAGTGGACAGTCCCACTCTTCAGTCACATCCCAAATTGGTTTCACCTGGTAACTGGGACTCAGTATGTGATCATTGCACCTGGTCAGAAGTGATTACTGACGTGTATAAATAGAAAAAAAAAGAGGAATGTGCCTGATGATAAAAATTATTCCAACTTTATAGGCGATGGTATATATCAATATATCGGCCAGTCTTCCAGAGACACAAGTATGAAGGAATAAAAGGTATAGAAGATCTATATTTATGGTCAAAAACGCTACCACATTTGGCATGTTCACACCCCCTGTGTACCTGTGGTACACCTTCACTTACTCTGAATAATTACACGTCTTCTTTGGTCTGTGTGGGAGTGTAAATACTGACTGACAGGTGTGTGCAGATTAGCTTTCTCCACCATTAACCTGAGCACGGGTCTGATCAGAAAAAAATGCGTAACTGAAAACACCTGTAGGGACGTGCGGAGCTTTTAAGACTGTGCCCTAATTCTCTTTTCATGTTCTGTTTTGATTACTTGGTTTGCCAATTGCTTTAACATTTGACAAAGTTCAATTTTCCAAGGACCTATGTTGGCAGTTTCGGCAGCTCAGCATATTTAAAGATTCAAAATTCAATAAGTTTTTGCTATTTCAACATAACTGACAGACAGTGCTTTTGGATCTCACACAAAACAAATGGCATGTTACTCTTACAATCATGAACATATTTACAAAACCTCAGATTTGGAATCCATGTTTGAAATCTTTTCAGGTGGAAGTTCTCCAGCCTGCTGATGCCTTTCTGGTTCCTGAGCATGAAAAATCCTCAACAGCCTCCTAAAGCTTGTGCGTTTTACTGTCGACAGTATAACCCATCTCTTGTGATGCAAATGACCTCCTTTGTTGCGGCCTACAGGACATTGCCCAGCTGATAACAGCAGCTCCAGCTCCTACGCTGGCTGAATAGCAGTGTGTACCTCCCAGCATCCAGCCTTATCGCACTGACGCTCTGATCACCTCTCGCTCTGTTCTTATCTCAGCTTCCTGCTAAATTAACGCCCACCGGCACACATCTACAACACCAGATACCAAAATACTGGGAAAAGAGATTGTATATACAGGAGGACTGTTGTTTTATATTGCTCACTGGCTGTACCACTGGTCTATGGTGATATGTACTGATCAGTGGGGATTTTGTTAAAATTTGTAAAAAAAAAAAAAAAAAAGAAAGAAAAGTTACTTCACTTATTTGTACATAGCAGTAAAGTGAGCATGTGTTAAAATAAAAATAATTTTTACCTAATACATCAATAGGTTTTATAGAATAAACAAGTTTAAAATCATTAGTTGTTATTTCCGCAGGTTGTGTCATCAGTGGTTCGATGCTTGATTTTGACGTGAACATGCAAATAACAATGGTACCACAATAATCTCAACAACAATCAGACAATGACTGCAGTCAAAACTTTCTGGGTAATCTGTGCCAGAAGATGGATTTATGTCGCAGCACTGAAGCATTAAGGCCCATTATTAGTGTCTGGATGTGACTGAATCAGCAGCTCTGGATTTGCTCCGTTATCAGCCGGTGACAGACGGCCATGGTGACCCTGCAGCCTGACCGCGGTGAGCAGAGGGCCGAGCCGCCGCAGAGCTCTTTATCTGTCTGACCCCGTCCCAGCCAGTAATGGAGTTGGGAGGGGGTGGTGCTGCTGGTGCTGCTGGGCTGGATTCAATAAGCACAGGGAAATCTGTGAAGGGGTGGAGGGGAGGGGGGTTGGACATTTGGGCAGGGCTGATAAGGGGGGCCCCAGCAGGCCGAAACTGACCCATCTTTCACCCTCTGAATGCGTCGCCACCTCACCATTAGTTCAGTGGACACTAACTGCCTCATTAGTCAACTCATTAGTGACAGCAAACACAGATCGCTGCAGCAGATCCCTGACGGGGGAACAGTGGAGTGGCTAATTAAAGGGGGCCAGCGCTGGCCCTGCTCAATGCCAGGCCTCAGACAGCTGTGTATGCGCCCGCCCCAGCACCACCGCCATGCCAGCCTCACCAGCTCCGTGAGATCTCACTCACACAAAACAGCAACCCTGGTTGCCTGGCAGCTATCGCCCAGCTCTGAATCAGCAGCCCCGCGCTTCTTATTATTTGTTGGAGCAGTTAATCTCACAAAGCGAGGACGAAGGCAAATACGTAAGATGTCCGACCCGGAGTCAAGTGACATTTGCAGGGGCTGGATTCCTGGAATAAAAGGTGATAAAGAAATGAAAGAAAAAGCTGCAGCGTGGGGCAGCTCTCCTTGGGTTCAGGGATTCTCAGACGTATCAGTCTGTGATAAACATGATCACATGAATACTTTTCATCACAACAGCTGCCAGATATCTATTATAGCTCCTGCATCATCCCGGTGCTCTTCACGGGAGGCTCTTTTGTGCTTTTACCACATGCAGTGTGAACCTGCCTGCCTGTGTTCACTGGCATTTGGAGATAACCACGACTGTCCTTCTGTTACCTGCTCGTGCTGCATGCAGACACTGACTGGCTGATTCAGACAATATTTCGCCCCCTTAACAAAGTTGTATGTATGTTGATTTGGTGTTATTTGCTTCTAATGCAGCACTTATGGGTTCTTGGGGTCATTTACAACGATAAACACACAGATCATTGTCATTATGCTGCCAAGAACATAATTAACTGATGAAATTGCATCACCTAAACACAACATCAGCTATTACTTAGACTCCTTACAGACAGCTCTATGTCCAAATCCAGTTTTAAGACATGAATCATCATAGTTTACTTTATGCTTGCATGGTTCTGAATCAGAAATAAAAAATAAAGCTGGTGCTGCGTTTTTCTTACTGTCCACTAATCCCATTCAAAGACTCCATGTGTCTCAATAAACCAAATCCGCAGATGCAAACTTTTAAGGGTTTTGTCAAACTTAAGGAACAGATCCTGTTAACTTGCAGCGTGGGACTCTGTGTATCATTCTTAAGAAGCGGCTTCCAGTTTGAACATTTGTGGCTGAATTAGTCCAATATTACAAATGGCCATTGTGGAGCGTAGAGTAGTTTTACAGGGTTTGAGCAAAGGTGAGCTGGTGTGTTTGAGGGGAGAGTGGTGGAGAGAGGCTTGAGCTATGCAGATTCATACTTTCTATAAGAGACAATGGTGTAGAGTTACATCTAAGCCATTTAAAGGCAGGAAAGGACTGTTTTCATGCGAGGAAAATGTGAATATGCATTGTATGAAACACACAGATGAGTTTTTAGAGGTTAAATCAACAACGAGATAGAGACTTGGGAAAGATGACAGTCAGATTTAAAAAAAAACAAAAACACAATCCTTAAACTGCTGAGTGCAGTATTTCATATCAAACATTACTCAAACAGGAGGAACTAGAGCATTTATTGGGGACTACTTTCAGAGGCGGATTAATCCTAATTTGGTGCCCTAGTGGGTATTTGGGGCAGCAGGAGGATGCATGTGGGACTGAGTCCAGATAAACTGCTGTGTATTTGTTCACGGTAATGAAGGCACATGTGACCCACAGCAACAGTGTGGCTTAATGATGTGTTTTTAATAGTTTTTGGACAACAATGGAGCACTATGGTTGAGATGAATGAGTTAGCTCACTAATACGTATTATTAAGATACATGCACTGTTGGCTTTGGCTTTAATGGGATTTGTTGGCAATAAGAAAATAAAATAAAATAAAATAAAAAAAAACATCACCATCCTTCAGTCTAATTACAACAAACTAACTGATGGACAAGAAATCTTGAAACCAGGTGGTTTCATTTTAACATAAAAGTGAGATTCTCAGCAAATAATGAAGCTGTGCGCACTCTCCTTGAAACTTGGAGATGATAAGTTAAATACACAATGCACAGATGGTGGGAGGTTTGTGCGAGGGGCTTAATAAGGGCTTCAACAAATTTTTGCCTCAGGGGCCCCTATCAGTTAATCCGGCCGCGGTGACAGAAGAAAAACACTGTTTGTCACAACTGATGCAAATTCATAAAAGGGCTATACTGTATACACATGAACTACTGCACATCAACGGACACTGAGGAATTTGTTCAGAGGCAGACTCACCTGAAACAAAGCACCTCAAGGAAAGATAAGGCCGTGTCTGACGCCCCCACCACCACAATCCTGTCGTTAATGGTGACCTTTGGCTCCATGGTTAACTTTCTACTGATGAGGCTGAGAGCAAATGGTGCCTGAGAGAAAAAAAAAAAGAGAGAGATGGAGATTCACTGGCTTTATTTCCATCTGGAGGAAATTTGTCACTCCAAAAATGAACGATGTCATTTTCTGAAAATTAAATAATCCATTAAATTCATGCCGTCTTTATTAGTAACCTACTAAAAGCTTCGCATAACGACGTGTCCAATTTTTCCCATTTAAAACTCGCAGGATGAGGCAGGAACCAGGTTTCATCAAGACACTTAGTCTCCCCGCTGAAGAGACGACACAAGCTCTCAGCCATTATCATTTATAGCGTGTAACATTCAAGCAATGCATCTTCCAAATCCGACAATCTCCAAAATCTGTGCTGAGAGAAACTTGAAATGAATGACATGAATACAGTCAAGCGTCCTTTTACAGATTTTTGGCAAATTCTGAATTTTCAAAACACCCATGGAAGCTCAAGCGGATTGAGTTCAAGGATGAGATACTTCACGACAGAATTCCACCAACAGAAAGGGACTTTACTGACATTTATGAAGATGAGGCACTTATCTCAAGTGACTGCGAGGGAAGGGTTCTGCATTCTTAGACTTCAGACATTTTTTATTTTTAAAATATTGCTCAATAAATTTGGCATTTGCTTAACCCCCCCAAAATAGTGTCTTTTTATATTTAGTAGATATTTTTAATGCCTTTATTATATAGAGAGACGAGATGAAATGCGGAGAGAGCAAAGATGTCTGGATTGAATGCAAATCAAGGATGTTGTGGTTTATTGTTGATGTTTCGACCCCTAGAACACCACACACACACACACATACACACACACACACACACACACACACACACACACACACACACACACACACTAAAGAGGGCTTTCAACCCCGAATGAACTATAGTTCTGATTTCAGATCATATTTTATCTCTTCTCTGCTTCTGATTGGTCAATGCAGATGTTTAAAAGTCTGAAATCTGCACTTTTAACTACTTCAGTGCTTGTTTCAAACCACATTTCTCCCCAAAAATATGAGACTTGTAGGCCTCACACAGTTTGAAGAGTAACTTGAAACTGTATTTAGATTTAGACATGTAGTCCTAAACATTGGGTCAATTTTTACAATGTAATTTTCCCAAAAATATACCTCCATTTCAGTATAAAAGCAGGATTCTCACTTTCTTCATTCTTATTTTCTATCTGTTTTAGGTATAGATAATGTTAATGGCACATTTATTTGGGATTGATAAATGTATATTGCTGCTGTAGTCACATATATGGATTTAAAAGGCCTCACCTGTGATCTCAGCCATAAATCGGACAACTATTTAAGGTGTTAGAACCTTTGCATAATTTTCTACAGAGATTTGCTGACCTTCTTATCTGTATTACTTGGTTTTTTTTGTTGTTGTTTTTTTCAAAGTTCTGTCCAAATCTACATATGTTCGTGTCGTGTCTCTTTGTTCTTTGTTACGGGTGTGTATGCACATTTGCAATCTGTCAAAAATCAATACGAGTCAATAGGGTGATAATGGCCCACTAGACAGTGAAGGAGGCCTCTTCCTAAATATATGTAAGGGAAAGATGTGCGCCAATAAAAGCTATTGAATGGCATGATAACATCCAAATCGGGTGATAAACAGCATAAAAGCTGCCGTCTCTGATTGGCAGTTACACGTCTGTTTCTAACCACTTTAAGGTTGGAATATAGTCTTTTCTTCTTAGGAAGGTTCCTAATTGAGTGAAATGACCCAGAAGTATCTAAGCAGCAGCTGTGAAAGAAGCTGGTTACATTTTCTAAATACAAAGCAAAAGTTCTACCTGTCCAGACTGTTATCTCTTTTAGCAGTGGATACAGTGAACCATCCTTTACAAAAGGAAAGTTGAGAATGCCGTCCCACAATTCCAAAGTAACGCATCATTCAGAGCCACATGACTGAGTGCTGTTAGATTCTCTTTGCACTGTCTCATCCTCTCTCTTCATGAACACATTTCCTCGAGGTCAAGGAAAAGTGATGACATGAGATGTTATTTTTGTGGCTATTTGGCTGCAATCTGGGTGTGGGCAGAAATGTGCTTTGTTGCACCTACAACCATCCTCAACAGTCATGTCACAGGGTCCCGGGGTACAGTAATACACCCCCGGCAGGTCTCCTCCCTTTGGACCACTGCAACTCGATCCAATAACTTTAATGTCCGGCATCCCATTTGAGCTGAGCCTGATAAAGGCAGCGAAATGAATGATTACAGTCTATCAAGTGTCCTTCAAAAGGTTTCTCAGATTTTCCAAAAGACCACAGAAACAGCTCACATTTTTTACAGCAGAATTCAGCCGACTGAAAGGGACTTCAGCTTCTATGTTTGTATCAAGCAAAAGCACTCATCTGAAGTACAGCTAGAGGGAAAAATTCTGCATCTTTCAATTCCCAGACTTTTTTTTCCTCTCTTGAAAATTTACAATGAATTTAACATTTTCACACCAGGATCTTCAGGAATTCTAATGCTGCTGTTAGACAGACAAAGAAAATTGTTGGTATTGTTCACTTGCAAAAACAGACAACTCCATGTTTGTATATTTTCAGAAGACATTGTCCCAGGCAGATGATGGAAAAGTGGGTTTTCTGAAGGTTTGTGAAAATGGACTTATCTGTTCTGGCAAATGAACTCTTCATATAGACTTTATGACACGTGAATGAACTGACATGTTCAGCCAGAATGAGTCCTGTATTTACAGCATTTCATTCATTCTTTGTCTCCCTTAAAATGTATTTTGCAAAACTGTAGAATAGAAATGTATTTTCTGGCAGACAGGGTTGCAAAACAAATTAAATTTTTCCGAACTGGACGCCCTATGAGCCTTCCAGTCGCTCTGAGGGTGGGTGATTTGCTTTGTTTAATGGCTCCACAGTGCAGCGGTGACACTATGATTCATCTAATAAGATCAGAATTATTATATTATTTTTTAAAATAGCTGTTAATTGGGGTAGTTGTGCTGATCTTTGAACAAACACTTATTTTGTATTTGGTCATTTTACAACTGTATTTGTTTTGGTTAGTGTAATTCCATCTCATTGTTTGCTGCAGTTTGTGTATTAATTAAGCATTCTGCTCTACATCCATATGCTCTAAAATAAATAAACCCAGGAAAACAGGACAATGGCAATAAGTGCAGTTTCCAGTTTGAAACACAGGGATCAACTGTGTGACCTGACAGTTAAGGAACACTTTACTACAATAATTACAAAAGCGTCCCACAGGAATTAGCCGAACACGGCGCTCTAATTTCCCCCAATTCCTCCAATCGTCTCTGGTCCTCTCCCTGTGATCTGAGGCAGCTAATGTCTCCTTCATTTTCTATAATTAGGCAGATTGGCCCCACAATGCACCTTGTTGGATGAAAACAGCAACGAGCAAAAAAAAGGGGAAACCCAAGGGTGGAATTAACCTTTGTGTGATATTCAAATAATTTCCATGAGGGCCTGTGTGCCCGACATCTGTCACGCACACAGAGATGTTCTGGCTCGGGGTTTGACTGAAATGAAGGAGGTTAGTGTTGGGCTATTTTATATGACAAATGTACTCTATTTAGTGTCTACTTACACTTAGACACTTCAAAAATATGCACTAAAAGCCACATTGTTTTGATGGAAGCAGCCACAATAGAGTTGATGATGAGTTTCCCTGGACATGACACTCTTTTGGTTAAAATATTTAGCTCCAAACTCTGTGTTAGAATCGTATCTTTATTTTTTTTTTGTGGAAAAGGTAGAAGGCTCAAACCTGTGGAAAACACAGAGAGACACTTTAACTACAAGCCTCCAAAAATGTTTTAGTAAGAAACCCCAGCACTGTGAGCTGAAGCTGCAGATTAAAGCGTTCAGCAGATCACTTTAGGACTCTGTGTGATTTAGGTGATGGATTCCGCAACATTTTTTTTTTCCCCCCTTATACAAAAATATTCTAAAATGCTAAAAGCTTGACTGGATTACTGCTGGGTAACAGCAGTCAGGGAGGAGCAAGCCCTTCATGTATTAATCTGCTTTTATCAAAACAATATTTTTTAAAACGGATCAGATAAACAATGATTTTCCAGCTGATGTGACATGTAGTCGCTCTGTTGGGACACTGATTGAAATTGAGTGTTAGTTTATATGTAAAAACCCTGCATTTTTATCGTACGCGCGCAAATTAAATGCCTACATGCATCTATCTGAATACTGCAGGAATTAACCAGACGAGGTAATCAGATGAACAAAGCTCCTGTCTCATCTGCATGTGAGGTGGAGCAGGTGCAGCAGCTCTTATCACGCTGGAGGTGCCTCACCTTTCCTGCACACAATGACCACGACGCTGCGTAATACGATCCCGGTATTGACAGAGAGGGAACAGGTGCTTTAAATTTGATTAATCATCCCGAGGCCGGCATCAGGACGGGGCTGAGACAAAGCTGGGAGGCGAAGCTCTTATCTGCACGGTAGCATGGAAATCATTACTGGCGTGTTACCGAGGCGGAGGGTCGGCGGGGTGGGGTGGAGGGTATTCTGGGTTTGATGGAGTGAAATGAGCATGTGAGCGTACACGGTGACACCTCTGGTCCAAAGAGCGCTGCTGTAAGTGTGGTAAATATTTGAAGTACAGGACGTTAAAATAAATCACAGCTGCATTAGGAGCAGACAGGGCTGTAGATTTAAGGCCAGAACATGACTTGTGGTAGAATTTAAACAAAAGAGGGGCGGAAAAATTGCTAATCATTACTTGTGTGTCTCTGACTCTCTCACTTTAAAATGAGTACAACTATGAAACTGTTTGTTAATTTGTTGGTTTGGTTGTTTTATTTTCTCTTTTGTCTTTATGATGCTGTGGTATGTCTGGAATAAATTAAATAAATCACACAAAAAAAGAACTGGTCCGATGTACTGGTGGGATTAGAAATACTCAGCCAGCCGTGAAAGAGGGTGACACACTGAGGTACTAAAAGCACTCAGATACTCAGGGTAGAAGTAAGAACATCTATCTTTAAGGCTCTAAATGAGCTTGTCTACGCAAAAGTATTTCAACAATCCAATCCAAAGTTCATCTCTTATTTCTAAAGAAATTATTCTAAGCATTGTATGTTTAAAATATTTCCGATTCTGCAGATGTCAGATTGATGAAGGTAAATTGTCAGCATGTATTTCTAAATCATGAGTTGATCAACAAGAAAACATCTGTCTGTAAATATGTGAGTGTGGAACAGTAAATGCATTGCAAACTAAATGAGCTAGTGATACAATTTTCTACAAAGCTGTACAAAAGTTTCAGCCATTTTGGATGTTTAGACTCTCTCCTGTCACACAACGCCATCTGATCGGCCTAAAATCAATTCTGCAGTCGGAGAATGAGCCTAAATGAGTCAGATTTGATTCACAATAAAACATTTTCTGAAGTCAGGCCTTAGTTAAATAATCACTGTGGGATAGATGGAGAATGTCAACATGAGACATCGTCAAAAGCATTACAGTAATACAAGGAGGCGGGCATTGATCTGTGAAACCACTGACCAACCAGTTTTAACCCCGGGTCAGATATGATGCAAAATGTATGAGGCTATTAAATAATGTGACCGGACGAGTGTCAGTGAAACCACAGCGTGCACGCCTCCGAAACGTTTTGGTCTGCTCTAATTAAATCAATGGATTTGCAGCATTAGTTCATTATTTAATAGCCACGCTGTATGTTTCATAAATTGCAATCTTTAATTGTGATTTCAATTCAAAATGGATTCATTATTTTTCATGAGAGCTCTAATCACAGCATCATGAACCTGAACCTGTTTGATTCACATTTTTCTGTTTACTGCATGAATTAAACTGTATGAATTTATCAACTGATAAATAAAAGCTACTCATGGCGTTACTTTAAGGCACTTTACTGTTAGAGCCTAAAGCTTTTGCACACAACTTTCTGTGACTTTATTTTACTGTTTAACACAGAATTTCAATGTCTATATATATATGTGTGCCTGTATGTGATCTGACGGGGGAAGGCTACGACTCTAGGATGATATAAAGCTCAGTATGATGGAATGAATGAACACAGAGTTTATTTTGTAAATTTTACACAAATAAACAGTATTTCAGTCAGATTTTGCTTGCTTTGATGTTTGTTGGTGTAAAATGTACAAAATAAACTTTCCATGTTCATTCATTCCATCATATCACCCTTCAGCATTGGCGCTTCCCCTCCACACCTTTGTGTTGCTACAAGCCGTTCCCTTTTGAAACAGCGCCGTCTAGTGGCCACGTGCACACCCTGCTGCGCTCCCTCAGCTCATCTACATTCCCTGGCAGGCTGCTTCCTGTCAACCAGCTGCTGCTGTGCCCACCTGGTCCTCTGTGAGCTGCCTGGACGGGGCGTTTATGCCAAGCTCCTCCAGCGGGTAGATGATCTGGCGTCGCGGGCGGACTGGGACCGCACAGTTGAGGACAAAATCCAGATGGTGGACGCAGGAATTCTGAGTGCAGAAGAAGAGGGCACAGTGTCGTGAGCTCAGAGAGAAGGGGAAAAAAATCCCCTCAGAGGTTAAACAGCATCAGTTTGGGGGCTCGGGGGGGCAACTGGAAGGCTGCACGGTGATAATGAGCTCTGGTGAAGAGGTTAGATGATGCAAGGTTTACGCCACCGATACGGGCTGATTACGACTAGAAAACATCACCCAGTGCTTCATGCACACAGCTAATTCTCTGGTTGTCTCTGCCATTATTCTATTTGCACATCATCATCCCCCAATCTGGTGCTTGTTTGTGGAAGGTAATTAGCAGAGGAAGTGGAGGCCTCTACATGTTGAGGAAATGTCTTATTATGGTGTGGAGAGGTGGAGCTGGCAGCGCTGCCGACACCTGCTGCCCCGACCCCCGGGACAGCAGCCTGCTGAGGGCCGCACTCTGCAAAAAATGACCTGCTGAGAGCTGCAACCCTTCTACATGAACAAACCGGCTCTCTGATCAGGTTATAGAACACACTTTATCTGCTGTAGATAATTTACTCTTTGCACAAGACGTTGTTGGACCATTACAAGAAAATCTTGGAAAAATGTAAGGAAAAATTCAAGTTTTCTTTTCTTGAACCCAGTTCTCATTACAAGCCTTATTCTGGTGACGCAGGGATGAAGCAAGCTTTACATTAAACAATGACAAATGTGTGTTCTTTGCAAATACAACACATGATTTAGTCACTCTTGACAAACTGGATTTAAGTTTGAAGTTGTCTTTTTATGTGCTGCTCTCTGCACCTGCAAGAAGTTTTTAAGTGACCCAGATAGCAAACAAAACAAGACAGTACTAATGATCAAGGTTTGGCCACACAGCTTTACCATCACTCAGCATCATGTCCACTGCAGCCTGCAGTCTGACAGGACAATCATTCAGGCCTTTAAACTTCAAACCACAGGTCTTTTTTCTTTTTTTTAGATTACAGGAACTCAACAATCCTCACTAGGGTCACGGGGGGCTGGAGTCTATCCCAGCTGACTCAGGGTGAAGGCAGGGGACACCCTGGACAGGTCACCAGTCTATCACAGGGCTACACTTAGAGACAGACAACCAAGCACACTCACATTCACACCTACGGACAATTTAGAATCACCAATTAACCTCAACATGTTTTTTGGCTGTGGGAGGAAGCAGGAGAACCTGGAGAGAACCCACGCTGCACGGGGAAGATTTAAACATGGCCCTAAAATCTAAAAACTAATTTGTCCGGGTTTATTGACTACTTTTGCTCGCCTTCATAAAACTAAGAGGGTATGGTCTGTGATTGGTCATCACTGATACATCGTCTGATCAGTGCGAGTTTTAACAGGCTGTAACAAACCAGCTGGAAAAGATCCAGTAGAGGAATAAACAGTGGTGGAATAAAGTTTGAGTTTAAAAACTAAAGTTAAACAATATGTCAGTGCACTTAGTAGTATTTAACTGTGAAGGCACTAATAAAATGTTATATTACATTATAATTGTATTGTCACTTTTCACATCACTAAGTCACTTCAGATTTGCCACCTGAACTTTAGTTGTTCATACTTTTGTCTTTATACACATACTTTTATATTTTTATCTATTGTATTATTTGGTGGGCCGCTGTCTTGTGCTGCGGCAATGCCCAGATTTCTCCTATGGGGATCAGTAAAGAATGATCTTGTCTTATCTTATCTTCCTTTATATTTCTGTGATCTGTGTCTGTTTCAGGACAAAAACTCCTAAAGGTGGACGTGTCACAGTGAAATCAACTCATCGCCATCAACTTTGACTTGAAGGATATTTTTTGCAGCGTGTCAACTGAAGCTCATTACACTAATGACAACATGTATCTGAGTGGGCATGCACACAGGCTGGAAGGGGCCTGGTGAAGAGGGGCCAGTGAGGGTCTGAAGGTCCCATGCACTCACCTCCTGGCTGTGGCAGGGGGGATAGAGTCGGTGGTACAGGCAGGATTTGTGAGCCAGCCGGAGGACCTCCTTCAACAAGTGCTTGGTGAAGTGCTTGAAGGAGGGTTTGAGGACGAAGTGGCGTATCTGAGCGTGCTCCTCGTAGCTGTGATGGCTGAAGTAGATGAAGTTCTCGATGTTGTAGTGGCCACGAATGTACTCGACGTCCTGACAAAGACAGATTCACATCAGTTCTCCACGACAGAGGAGCATTTCCAAGATAATTAGTTCAATATTTATTTCGATTTATTTGCTTAATAAAGTTCTCTCATAATTGTTATCTTTGAACAAAACATTGAACGCTGCTGATCATTGAAGCATAAAAGTAAACATTTGTTATTCATTTAAATTCCAGTACATTTTCCTCTGCTATGGGCTCAAGTATTCATAAATATAGCAGTAAATGAAACAAAAATAAAACTCACCAGCAGACTTTTTTTTATTATTTAAAAGCATTGGGCTGATACATCTTGTTCATTTGGAATTGTATTGATTTATTTTTGCCTGTCAAGTTCACAGTTTTATAAAAGTGTGTCGAGAATGATGCAGTGGTTTTGTTTGTTTTTTTAATGTGGGGAAATATCAATAATAACTAAATGTATTTTACATTTTACTAAATGCACAGTGGGTGTGATATGACATAAAAGGTCTGCAACTAATTCTTTTATTGTTATTGTTGTGATTTTTTTTTTATCATGTTTTGGATTTTATTTGGATTTAGTACATTATATATATATTTAAAACACAAGGATATAAAATGGAGACCGAAATTGTTTATCATCAGATGATTTTTTTTCAGCACAAAAAGAGACACAAGTGCATTCATCTGTTCTCTAAAGCAGGCCCTTTTGTTCCATCGGCCCTGAGAGCTCGGTGCACTGCAACTTAAGTAAACAGTAAAACACAGACAATTTTTTTTTTTTTTTTTAAATGTTGCAGATACACTTTAAATAGCACAAGTTCCATATCTGTGCGATTTGCAGCTCGTTTCTGTAATTGCTTGCTTTCTGTATTTGCAGCATTTTACTCTAAACACTACCTCTGGGTTGTCACATTGGTGTGTTTTTTTCAGTTTGCTTGTGTTTTTCATTGTCTATTTGTGCATGTGTGTTCTCAAGGTGTGTTGAGCTATCAGGGCCACCCTATTTTATTTTGTAATTACTCCAGCATTATGAATTTGAATGAATGCTTATTTGATAGTTTAGCACAGTTCCAATCGGAGCATGAAGCTGCTGTGAGTTTATAGCTATTGCCTTTTTATTTTTCCTTCTTTTAGCTCTTCTTTCTGTTGAGCTTCTACATACACAGTTCAGCTAAAACGCATAGCTTTCACTCTCAAAAACCCTCTCAAAAAAAACAATACAGATGGGGAAGCACAATGAAATGCTCATAACAAAATACATTAATGGTAATGTGAACCAAAAAAAAAAAAAGAAAAACTTTCCAGAGTTGACAGCCCCTTATGGAGAAAGCTGATTGTCCAAATTTAGATCTAAAATGTGTTCTTTTACGGTCGTCATTAAACAAGCTCTTGTTACTGTCTTGTCTTCAAAAAAAATGTGGAAAGATGCTTTGGAGGATCTGAAGTCCAATTTGAGAAAACTCTCTCAAAGGTAGGCAGAGTGTAGCTTTTCAGAGGTGATTGTGTTGGGATGTAAAGTTCAACTGTCATACTATCAAAAAATACAAAAATGAGAGAAAATCATAAAGCTCATAAATACGTGGGCTGCCTGAATAGTTGGTTAGTCTTTCAGAAAGCTCCGTTAAACATAACACAAATCAAAAAAGCAGAAATCCCAGCTAGTGCAGCAGATACTTTCTGGATTCTGTCATTCTCTTAATGCAGCTCAGTGGCATCTGTGCCTTTTCAATCAAAGGCTGTCACATCTGGACACGACCAAATGAAATTAGTATTTTAGCAGATTTAAAAACTTTCACAGCAAAAGTTAAGAACTGGCAGAAAGAAGAACAAGAATGTACCACCTATGACATGTACAAGGTAAGACTGACTGGGGGTTGTGCCATTTTGTGTGTGTGTGTGTGTGTGTGTATGTGTGTGTGTGTGTGTGTGTTGGGTGAGGGATTATAAGTTTCTAATGTTGTCTGTGCTGTTTTTACTGGTGTTGTTGGTCCTTTGTCTATTTTTACTGAAAAGTCCAACCAAGGACGCTTGTTGAAAATGAGCTTAATGCTATACACTCTATATGCAATACATCAGATGTTTTCTATGTAAAAATGCACGGTCCCTGATCAAATAAACAAATAAATAACATAAAAATAAATTAGACTGTATTCAAAGGCTTCCTGATAACAAAACTGACCCTTAAGTATAAATTTGGTGGAGTTCCCCTTTAAAAAACAAGAGCATGAAGGTTTAATGGTTAAAGCGCAACACATATAAAAATGCATTTCAGCTGAAATTATGTCGTTTATTGATTCTCCAGGACAGATGCAGAATTTCAGGTTAAGTCTAACAAGCCCCGCTCACCTGCTCGTCTCTGATGATGAGCATCCCGACGACTTCTCCATCTGCCTGCGCCACGAAGGCCTGCAGCCGCACCGCGTTCTGAGGAACAAGAGAGCAGAAAAACAATATGGAAATTTACATGTGTGTACTGAGCTAAACGTGAGCTGAACTCACTTTTCTTGCACTAGCTGAGTCCAGTGCCATGAATACACATGAAGTGGCTGCATTCTCATTTGAGAAGTAATTATCAGTTTTGGAGCTGCAGCAGTGACAGCTGGGGTGTCAGTCAGAGAGGAAAATCCGTTCAACTGAATTCTCACCAATCTGTTCCCTGGCATACGTGCGATATTCCTCGTTATTCCAAGACAATCATCCTACCGGCTCCAGTCGCACTTGATGGTCCAAAATAATCATCATCTCATTTTTAAAGTTGAAGGGAGAAAAAAAAAAGTGTTGCAACCTGAACATTTTCCACACGAACAGTTGAAAATGTCGAACGTTAAACACATATATCATGTTATAATCCTACTTTATTTTTTATTTTGGTGACAAAAGAAATAAAGAAACAAAATTAGCAGACTATAAAAAGTAGATATACTGGTATGTTTATGAAAATAGCAGGAGGAATTCAAGATGGAACTATGGCACAGGTTTTGGGGAACACACTGAAGTCAACCTCTTGCCCTGCATCTTTGATTTTCCAATTTCAAACTATCAGCTGACAATAATTTTAAAATATGCTACTTTTGCTCTGGTGCAGTTACTGCTCTCTGTCTGTAATCTTCACTCTGTGGTCTCCAACAATGTCCTGCCGACAGAATTATGTGATTGGTTACAGGTCACAGGTAATACTCTATCAGCACTGAAGGAAAGATGTTAAGAAGCTCTTGTAAAAAAAACAAACAAAAAAAAACTGCAGAAAACATGAATAAACAAAGGCATGTCTCCTTGTTGGTATCAGCGGTGGAAGCTGTTCTATCCTTCACTGCCTGGTGCAGCTTCAGCATCATTTAAAGAGAGTGTTAACCACAAATCAAAATCTAAGTACATTAAGGTAAATGGTTTTTACCCAAGAATGATGCAGAGGAGGTGGAAGCTTTTAACCCTGACTAAGAGGCCTTAATTACCACCGAAGCACAGCAAACAGCCTGTGAGGAAATGATGACCTTTGAGTAGGAGTGAAAGTAATGTGATAAAGTTCAGGGAGGATGTTCAGTTATGTCTAATTCATGATTACATTTCAAATATGATGCAGTTAATTATTGACTTCCAAAAGAAAGCTGTTCTATCATAACAGTCGCAGAGGAAGTGCGGAGAGTGACTGAATGTTGTAAACGCAATGTCAGAAAAAATAAAACTTATTTGAAGTCTAAACAAGTCAGTCATACTTCCCTCAGCAGCTAAACCCTGTGTCAGTGGCAGAGAAATTGAGTATTGTTACATATTTTGTAATAAAACGTCCTTGTAACTGTTTCTTTTTTTCTTTTACTTTTAGAAGTTTTCTTCTAGAGTGAAGGAACAGTGTTTTTAAATTTTAAAAAAGGCCAAATTGACCCAGTATTCACAGAAAATTAGTTTTAGTCGAGAGCTAAACAGCATCATGCAACAGTTAAATTTAGATGTCCAACACTGTTTGCTGGATCTAAGCTGCAGTCGAAGTCGTGTGTTTGTGAAGCTGGCACCAGGTGAGTTACTATCACTGTTCTAGTCATAGTGCGAAGGTGAAACTTTGCTTGATTAAAAACACAAAAGTAATTGCAGAGAAAGAACCAGCTGATTCTGAAGAGGTCACAAATGTTCTCACATGCAGCTGTTTTTATGTGAAATGACCTGAGAGCAAAACAAACTTAAAGACTTCTTCAACAGATTTTCTTGCTGGTTGCTGACCGAGAGTCCCAAACCATCTTCTGTTCATTATGCAAAATTCTCAAACATGAGTCCTGCTAAAGCTGCTCTCTGAAACTGAGCCGAACCAGCCGATGATCACTGTGTGTCTACTGACTGTATCACTGCAGGCCTCGTAGAAGCAGTCCAGGTCCTGCAGCAGGAGCTCACTGAGGCTCAGATCCTTCACCAGGCCAGAGACAGCAGGCCGGTCTGCAGGCACAGCCGGCCTCACCTCCACGCTCCTGCAAGAGCAAGAGCACTGAGAGGAACACTGATCTATAAAGAGTTTTAATGTGTATAAATGATCTTTTACTATAAATAAATGACCCAGCAGCTTATACTCTGTAATCACTGTTTCTAAAACAGGGATGTGTGGACCCCTTGTGGTCTCTTTCAGCATTGCAGGGATCCATGAATGATTTTTCAAGCAATGACATATGTATGTAGTTACTTTTCCACTGAAATAAGGTGTATAAATTGTTTTTTTAATTAAATGATCACTATTAGATTATGAATTTTATTTCTCAGACAAGTCGAAAAATCTGACACTGGATCGTAAAAAAGCCTAATCTCTATTATCTCCTGCCTCTTTCTTTTTTTATTTTGAAATATCCTCTCACTGTGAGCACCCACACTAAAAATGTACAGGTTTTGGAATAAAAACATCCTCTTACCACTTCCATGTTTGTACAGCATAAGTAAAGAACTGCAAGGACAGCCTTCTTTGCGTGCAATAAAGACAGATTCGACAGGCTAACTGACTTGAATATGGTTTTGTACGTCTCATGTATGAACACATGCCGAAAAACGATCAAAGTTGTGAACCTAATATCTCGGCAATCACACAGGGTGACACACCTGAGTCCAGCACGGTGACAGACGTAGAGTTCATGGGACAAGTTGGTGGGACTCGAGGGAACCCTGACAAAGTTCTGCAACAAGGGGAGCACAGGGGCCCCAACACGAAGTGTGATGATGCAGAAGTTCAGGTCCTAAAAGACAGAAGGACAACATATACGTAATATCTTTTTGAGCACATCTCCAGAGCTGTGTTGCAGGTGCCAGAAATAAAGCGAAAAGATTTTTAAAAATAATTAGTTAATATTCATCAGTTTCACGTGCAACAAACTGAAACGCCCTGAATCAAAACAGTACTTGATGTGACCACTGTTTACATGTAAAACAGGGCCAGGCAGGTCTGTGGATTCAGCGTGTCTCCGTGTCTCCTGTCTCTTCATGTCATCCAGACTGACTTCACAAGTTGAGATCTGGATCCTGCAGGGTCCAGGCCATCTGTTGCAAGACTCCATTTGAGGCCAACTATATATATCATTTTTTTTATGACTCTGACTGAATGTTGGGGCTCGTTGAATTTTGGGAGCGATCAGATGCCTTCCTGAAGGTATTACACGACGGATAAGACGGCCTGATGGTTAAAGCGCATAGCAACATACTGTGGTGTAATTACTGACAGAGGACCCTTGTTATATACTTCCTCTCTCTCTCTCTCTGCTTCTGTCACTTGCCACTCTATGCTATCGACTCCCAAATAAAGGCAAAAAACAACAAATTAACAACAAACAAAAAAATAATCCAAACATCTGTACTGTCTAAACTTTTGGACTCAGTCTCAGCATTCAAAACAAGTCTTTAAAAACATCCCCATACCATAAACTATCTCCAGAGTGTCATGTCTATTTAATTACTTAAAAATTGCTGCTGGTGTGAAGAAATTCCATTTTTGTATACTGACATACTGAAACTTATGTCTTAACTTGACCTAATTCTTTCACATTTCATTATTCCAAGGGCTTTTGTCTATGTACCGTCATCACTGATTTATTTATATTCAATCATCAGATGGAGAACATCAGCTGGTGCTTTAAACATAACATGTCAAGGTGATACTCACAGGGAAAAGCTTGAATATATATGGAATAAAGTCCACTGATCTGGAAGAAAAGAAGATGAAATGAAAGTTAAGTGAAAATACGTGTCTGTGCCAAGTCGGTGATCATTGTGGTGGAACAACTGGCCGAGCAATCTGCCCGCAGCCTCCAGCCCAACTTCTCGCCTTCAACTCTCTGTCACTTTAAGCGCAGCTCTCATTAATAACGTGCTCACTCTCGGCAGGAAGCGACTCGGCTCCATATTCAGTAACAGCTGGGAGGTAAGGCGGTGGTGAGAGGAGCGCAGCGGGAGCCAACTAACAGTCACTCTCCCTGCCTTAACTCAGCATATGACTGATGTAGCTCTGGATGGCTGCCACCACTGCTGCTGAGTTACCGCCTCAAAAATGTGCAAAAGTGGGAAAAATGTTTAAACTGAAAATGGAATACTTCTGAATAAAGGTCCATTTTTAACAGTGATATCTGTGAATTACAGAAAATAGATAATAAAAAAATAAGTATCCTGTGTCCTGCAGCCTTTGTGTATCTTATTCTTCTTGCCTTATTTAATCTACAGGTAGCTACAAACAGTATTTAAGCCTATTCAGGACTTTTGGGGTCTTGTGGACCCCAGACCATTTGGTTTAGGTGACAGGTATTGTTTTTTTTTTTAATTTTTGAAGATGTTTTTAAACTATAAAATAAGGACATTTGTATTTGGAACCAAAAATACATCAACTTATCAGAAAATGTATTTAACATAGTATAAAAGTCTGTCATAAATACCAACAAATATTTTGCACATATTCTTTCCTGGAGTCCAATGGACCCCGAAAGACCTTCTACGTAACATGAAAGTCCTGAATAGGGTTAACTTTTATGTTGTAACATTTAAAGTACACTAAACAAGCTATTCTGTCCAGAAAACAAATCATAATTCTTGTCAAAAATGTTTACTAAACATTTCAGTGTAAATTAATTTCAGTTAAAAGCATTGTTTTTAAGTCTTTAACTATTATGCATTCACTGGATACAACTGGAATTATTAGATATTTATTATATATTTCCAGCCCGATTGTCTTTCCAGTCTGTGACTTTCAGCCTTGAATTTAGTGGTTTCTGCAAAGGACATCTTTAAAAAGGGCGCCACAAAATATACAACATGTATAGTAAATTAGGTTTCATTTTTACAATATGCTCAGTGATTTCTCAAAACATCTGGTTACTGTAGCTTTAAAATAAAATGACTTGAACAGGAGGAAACAGTGTATCGTCAGGTGTTTGTTAGGGACTGTTTTTAGCTGCAAACTAGCCCACAGTAGCAGCACAGTGATGTATGTTGGACTGAATGAAATGAAACTACAGTGTGTGTGTTCATGCTGAGAAATGACCATGTCAGTCAAAACAGCACTCTGTTTTGATAGTTTTTGGATAGAGATTCAGGCTTTGGATAGAGATAATACCTGCAGTAGGACACATTTATTGCAGGATTCACTCTTTTCACTGAATTTGATGACAATGAGTAAATACAAATAAGTGCCAACTTTATTCTTTAACTTTACAAACCTTACCTTGTCCCATATTTCTTGTCGAAAACGAAGAGCTGAATACAGAAAGTGTTGGATTTCCCTGAAAATGTTTCAGTCACCTGTGCCTCCTCCTGTTTACATGAGAGTGACAGAGACAACAAAGACAAGGTGAAATCTAAAAGCGTCCCGGTGAGGACACCCAGGATCTTTCTGCGTGGAGTTCACATGTTCTCCCCGTGCAGCGTGGGTTCTCTCCGGGTTCTCCGGCTTCCTCCCACACAGTCCAAAAACATGCTGAGGTTAATTGGTGATTCTAAATTGTCCGTAGGTGTGAATGTGAGTGTGCTCGGTTGTCTGTCTCTAAGTGTGGCCCTGTGATAGACTGGTGACCTGTCCAGGGTGTCCCCTGCCTTCACCCTGAGTCAGCTGGGATAGACTCCAGCCCCCCACGACCCTAGTGAGGATTAAACGGTGTATAGATAATGGATGGAATTTCAGGCTTAGATTTCCATCTTTTTACTGACAGAACTGCACATCACACATGATTAGTTCAAGAATTGTTGGGAAGTTCAGTTTTTGACTCTGACAAATGTTGTTATTTCTTATTTAAAGATAGATGCCTTTCAAACCTGCAAGTGGGTTTGGGGGTTCATTGGATTAGCTCACATAGGCAATAAATGTGAAGAAGAAACCAAAATGATAGACAGCCGTGGTTGTTTCATTTTAAATCAAGTTTTCTAGAGAACAGAACCAGTGTATATGCATTGAAGGCTTTTTTTCCCACTTTCTCAGCAGGAGTCACATTTGACGTGATGAACAGGCCTCGTCTGTAACAGTGTGCATCTCATTATTTTAAAATTTCCCTGATTTAAGGGTAAGTTGGTGTTTACATCAGTTCAGTTACCTGCTGTAAAGTGGAAGTTAGAGTTTGTCCTTGTTCGTCTTCATCCTCACTGGGGTCAGACTGAGCAGCAGAGCCGTCAGGTTTTGGTTGCTGCACTTTGTACAAACCGTCAAACTCGCTCAGGTCAAATCTGTTAGGGAGCTGCTTCAGATCAACATGAGCAGTCACACTGATGAAGCCGACAACAACTCCATCAATCTGTGGAGGAAACACATTCACATTAAGCTTTATGTTCACAACCCACAAGTCTCCAATCAGGTCTTTGTATTTTCTGTTTTAAAAACTTTGTGTGCAGGAGCTTCTGAAGTAATTAACATTTATACGTTTTGCTTTGTTAAGAATAATCAACAGAAATAGAGCTCAGTGGAACTGCATCGGCATAAAGTCAACAGAATAAAATAGAACAGTCTGCCAGAATGACAGATTATCTCTGGAGACTGCACTGCAGGAACACCAGCGGTGTTACCAGTGGTAAATTCACTATGACCTGAACAAATATGACAGCTTTTGTGTTTAGTATTAGCAAAAATACTGAGGTCCAAATTTTCCTCTTGGCTTTAGAAACTGTAATTAATCAGCTTGCTCTGGAGCTTCCAATCACATCACAAGCTTTTCCTCAGCAGGTGGACTTGTTGTAATGGAACTGCACATCATCAGCTTCCTTTTTTTGAGAACTTTGAGGACCTCTTTAAGAGTCTCTAAATGGATGTTTCTGTTCTAGAAAGTGATTATCCATACATCTTTAGCATTTAGAGCTCAGCTTACCTTAAACACTAATTAATTCTCATGACACATAAAACCCAAGTGGACATGCTGTGTCTCTAATCAACCATCTAACAGGATGATAAAATAACTCAGAAAATATCTAAACACATTATATCGCTTCACAAATAGTTTCTGGCACGCAGTGGCCTGAACAGCCAAACCCTCTGGGATATTGTTGGATTGTTTGTTCTCTGAGTGCTGAACATAATCAGACAAAAAGCCCAAAATGCTTCAGATGTCTGGACACAATATGTTCAGTGAGAGCATGTCTTGGCCAAGTATCAGCTCATATCTGCCATATGCTGCCATGAGCACATGTCAGCCCGACTGGCGGGGAGGAGAGAGGAGATCTGTCGTCTCTCAGGTCCTTAGGGAATTAACCCCAGCAGGGCTCCTGACAATCAGTCAAAGCCTCACCAGCGAGCTGCTATTGCATTATTTTTAGACGGGAACAGTGAAACAAATGGTTGAAACACATACAGTAACTCACATAAGACCACGCAGGCAGGAGGGATGAACTCCTGCATTTTGCATTTTAATGGCCGCTGTGGGTCACTTTTCAGGGGGACAGAAACATCAACAATTGACCGAAATTAAGTTTATATAAAGTTTAGGTGAGAGAAAAAGCTTGAAGATGGAACAAACCTCACAAACAGCGCTGTGAGAGTCCTCAGACTTGTCCTCAATGAGCTGTACCAGGAAGTATGGCGGGTCAAAGACAGCTGGCAAGTTGCCCGCTTGCTCGTTCTGCTCTTCACACATGAGCATAATGTCGTCACAGTCTTCCACTCTGTAAAATACAAAAAGCTAACACTTCAAAGCAACACAAATCTGATTTCTTTTTGTATTACAATGAATCAAATTCGGTTCTGCAGAATGGAAAGTGCTTGACTCACTAATCATCATCACACATAACTGTACAAAGGCTTTAGCCTCTTTTAGATCGAGGTTTTAGTTTAATGTCACATTTACTGAGTAGTTTCTTCTCAACGCCCTTATTTGATTCATTGTTAGCAACAGCAGGGAACTGAAGATTGAAACAAGCTACTGAAAATAGGAATGTCTGCTAAAAGTGTCAGATAATTCTTCAGGAGCTGGAGACCAAATCTGAGCAAACAGGAGAGGGTGTGCACTCATCACGTGATGAAAAATGAGTTAAGTTGGATGCTAATATCGCTCAGCAAGGTGATAACATGTCAGGACTGTGGACTATTTCTGCTCCCAAGTGACCAAATATTCAGTCAGTTCAGCTTGAACAAGTCTACCTACGACCTTGATCTTTACAATCTTTTCACTGGACTGTACAGCTTCATTATTTTCTAACCAGATACTGTGTATGAGCAGAGGAATGAGCAGAAATCACCTGGCTGGGCGGATATGAAGGCCTGGAAAGTACTCTTGTCTGTGGCTGATCAAAGCTAAACACTGAGGCCCTGGGTCAGTCAGGCGCCGCAACGGTTCAAATATCTCATTCAGCGCCGGCTCTGGAAAGACACAAGTCACGAGGCTGAGTCTCTTCACAATTATTTTGTTCATGAATTATGAACTTAACACTGAATTTGAGGATGTTCTTCACCTAAATCTCCAAGATTTGGGCTAACCAGGGAGACGCATTCAAGCTCAGGAACGGCATAAAAAACAGCCCTGTAATAAGAATAAGAACAAAGTGATCGGAACTAGGCAGGTGTTATATTAACCCTTTAGGACCCATAATCTGGCTGCTTCTAACCAAAGCATCTTCAGTAACTCTCATTTTTAATATTCATGATGCTCAAGCTGAATCCTGACAGTGTCGTGTTGGACATCCCCATAATTTTAACAGTACACACAACACATGCATTGACTAATAAGGCTTTTCAATCTTATGGACAAATACTAGAGCTCAAACAACAGTCATTCAGAAATTAAACTCTGGCAAATTTTACATCTTTAATACCTCATTATCTCCTTTACACTTGCTCTGGAGAAATTTGTCTGAGCCACGAAAAGGTGGAGGAAAAGCGTGTTCAGAGGCTGTAGAGAGAAGACAATGAAACCAGTTTCCTCCAGTACTTATGTCGCCTCACTTCATTCTAATTGCCAGAATTCAAATACTGTAAAAGTCTTGGAATTTTACCCAGTTAGTTACATTGAGATACTGTATATTGAAAACAAATTACAGCAGTATGTATCTTAAAATCAAATGCATCAGCTCTTGTGTGAATTAATGAAAGATACAAACTGTGCATTTTTCTGCACTGAAGTGTTTCTTCAGGAAGGTTTCCCACTGAGCCTGATCCACCAAGTCTCCAAAAGGGTGATCGAAGAAAGAAGCATGAGCCAGGATTTCGTCCTTTTCATTGAGCAGAGTCACGGCCAGATTGGCTTTCTCTCTGCAATATTCAGAAGAGCAGAGATGAAACAAGACATTGACGTTAAGGGATGTTTCACATTATTCATAATCACTAGTTGTCTTCACTTACACGGTTCTGTGTAGGGAAAAAAAAAAAGATCAAAATATCCATAAATCATCTCAAATCAAGCTGAGCATTAAACCTCTGTTGCCTTTATAAGTATTTGAAATGAACTGAACATACAGATGAACAGTGAAAAGGTGGATTATACTGCAGCAGTAAGTGTAGCAGTAATGGACATTTTTATATTTTTCCTCCATTGTTTTAAACTCGTGAAAAGCTGTTAGCGCTGAGCCAGGCCAAACCACCGTCGTGGGAGTGCAACCTCATGTTGTTCACGGAGTTGTGGCTGAACGAACTCACTCCGGACTCGCTCGTAACTTTGGACAGATTTCACCTGGTCAGAGCGGACCGGAGCTGGAGGGAGAGTGGTAAGACGAAAGGCGGGGGACTCGCCATGTATGTGAATGAGAGATGGTGTGATGCTAGCACGTTAGTGTTAAAGAGCAGCGCTGCATGAAGGATGTTGAACGGCTGGTGGTTGGTTTGCGGGGGTTTAACCTGCCAAGGGAGTTTTTGCACATCCTGGCTATTACAGTTTACATCCCCCCTCGGCTGATGCTGTTGCAGCCTGTGAACTCCTCCATGGTTCAGTGTCCCAGCTGCAAACATCACATCCTCAGACTCTGATCATCATCTCAGGAGACTTTAATCATACATCGCTCTCTACCACTCTCCCTACATTCAGCCAGTATGTGGACTGCCCAGCCGGACACGGTGGGGCCTTGGACCTGCTGTGTGCGGCCACCGGGGATGCATATTACTTAATTATTGTTAGTTTCTTGTACTTTCTATAGTTTTGGATGCTGCTGTGACGTGTAAATTTGCCCTAATGGGGGATCAATAAAAAATATTCCATTCTATTCTAGTTTTGTACTGAACAGCAAGCAAGGGTGTTTTCCTTGGATGTCGTCCATAGCTGACATTATGAACGGTCCTTCACACTGTCTGGGCTCTCACAGAAACTCTGAATTACATCGATGACCCCTGTGTCAAGTACGAAGCACTTGCCAGTCTGTTTTTCAGACTTCTGATAGATTGTGCGAGTAATGCACTCTCTGTGGTGTCTTTTTTGGAGAACAGCGACTGTGGCTCTGATTAGTGGCACTATGTCTCCCTCTATACGTCCTGATTACTACTGCAATGACATTTCAACAGCTTTGTAGTTCGTCAGTGATCTTCCTGTATCCTTTTCCATGCTTGTGAAGTCTTACAGTCTGATTTTTCAGTTCTTCACACAATTCTTTTTCACGTGAAGCCATGACGCAGACATGCAGATAGACACAGCTCAAAGGTTCAAAACTAAGAAAGTTCTAATGTTCACAGGTCATTTCATGAGCATGTTTAATCCGTTAGTTTAACTGGAAATAACATGCATACTCCATTTAGTTTCAGTGATTACCAATTTTCTAACTTGTTAGTGATTGCAGGTGTGTTGACATTTGTTGCACAAATTTCTACTCTGACTTTTTAGTCTTTCCAAACTTTTCCTTTGACTGTTCTACTTGTGATCTTAAAAATGCAATTACTGCGAGGTGATAAACTTTTGAATCACTTTAAATGATACTATAGGGTGATATTGTATTCACTTCTGTTGCACACTGTATTCAACAAGTCAATCTGTTGCTTACTGACTCTATTAAAAAGAAATATTTTCCTTACAGAAGATGGATCACATTGACTCGTCCAAACACCGCCTGAGTTGAAGGGCCAAGGAGGCTGTCAATCTCCTGAGCATCCGCCGACTCACTTCTTCTTACGGTGACAGTTTCCACTTGGCCGCTGTCTGAAGTTATAGTCCTCATCTTTACTTGGACTGATTTTAATGAGACACAGAGAAACGTGTCACTTACAACAGTATAGCAGCAACAACGACGATGATGATGTAGCTCACGTTAGCGAAAAAAAAAAAAAAACTACGACTCTTAACGTTATACCTAGAACAATTATTATTTACCGTTCTCAGATTAATATCTAACAAACCATACAACTACTCCTACATACTTTACGTTCTGTTGCTTATGAAAAACACGTGTCCGTCTTGTTATTGCTAGTTTTCGTCGCAGTCTGTTCTCATGGTTCTAACTACCGCAAACTCCGTTGCCATAGCAATAAGACGGCGCTGAACCGCAGGGGTTAATGGGAAGTCGCAAGGCATTGTGGGTACTGTCATGGTGGCTCGCGCTAGAAGAGACCAAAACGTTTCGTGACATTTTAGCTTTGGCTGTTGTCGTAACAGTTTCATTAAGTTTGGGAAAGTAATAATTTTAAAAACCTGCCAGCAAAATGGCGTCTACCGCGGCAGGCAAACAGCGGATACCGAAGGTGGCGAAGGTAAGCAGGCAAAACACAATATCAGAGCCATGAGCTGACTGCGGCTAAGCTAATGCTAAGAGGTAGCGCTAAAGTTTAAGCAGACTTTGGGAGGAAGCGCCAGCAGCGCTCGTGTTCGTTTTTAACAATATTCAGACTTTAAAGCAGTAACTATAAACTCCAATAAAATAGTAGCTCAACTAGTGTTTTAAATGTGCAAGGTTGGCCCGACGGAAAGCACATTAGCTGGACAGTTAATTGGCGAAGCTATCGGTTGTGTTGTCAGTTTTATATTCACTGTGCTCTGCTTTGTTTTGGCTCCCCTGTGTTTGATAGTTTCACGGGGTTCCTTCACGTATTCCGGGTTCAATTTAAGAAAGAGATCTGGACACATTATAGTATGTAAAATTATCCCTCTCGAAAGTCCTCCAAAACCCTTTCGAAAATGTTCTTAGTATTTTTATTTTTTTTTGTCTCACACATATTTCTAGTAATAATTAAGAAGGGCTGATTGGCTATTAGATTGTGTAGTATTCTGCATAATAAGAGTAGCAGTTGTTTATTGATCTAACATATAATAGTCAAGCCCACATGGATTTCTGACGCACTAGGGCTGCGAGTAACGATTCCTTATTCGAGTTTGATTATTCAGTTTTTCCACCAAATGCCAGAAAAAACAGAGAAAAATTCCCATTCAATGAGACGTTCCTTGAAAAATCTGAGTATGTGTGATAAGGAAAAGCAAACACTAATCATACTTTGAGAGGTTTAGAAAGTCAGTTGAGTTTAAAATTATTTATTATCAAAGTTGTTGCAAATTAATTTTCTTTTTACCAACTTATTGAATAGTTGAGTAACTTTAGCAGGCGTTCAAAGCACCTACATAAAACAACACATTTGAGAAGAACCTCCGAAATATTGTCTTGTCAACAAAGTAATTTATTTTACCACTATGACTAATGTATATTTATTAACAATAAAACCCATTCCTCTAAAGGAAAATCATTACTGTTATGGGTCATGATGTTGTACTTAACTTGAGCTATGTGAAAAGAAATCTGTGACTTAAATTGTGCTTCACATTAGGCTCTTTAGTTTATGTAGGTGTTTCTTGCCATGCCCTCTTCTTAACATTCAGTCTAGACATGATGTGACACTGAGAAAATCCTTGTTTGCTCAGAATGTCATTCTGACTACTGGAACGTTCACACAGTTATTGTACCATGTTTGCCTCTATCACAGTGCTACATCGTGAGCAACCTGAGGCACAGACATATGTCTGAGAGGTGAACATGAGTCGAGTGTCATTAGCTAATGTGCAACTCTGATTCAGTTGAATAATGCAGTCTGAGGAAATGTGCCTGTTGTTCAAAGAAGTCCACATGGTCACTGCCAGTGATCTGCTTCAGTTTGACTGCTGACTCAGGGGTAAAGCAGAACCTAAAGTGGTTCAGTGTCATGTTATGTTTAGAACTTCTTGTGTTTTTAAATGTTTCTAAATCCTCAAACTTTCTAATTATTATCAAGTCTGCAGTAATATATTAGAATTTTTTGATGTTCTTTCAGACTTTTGGACCTGTAGAAACATAATGTCATCCACTCCTACATTTGAAACACACGTTTGAGTCATTCACAGCCATTGTCGGTGATATACCTGCTTCTGCCTTTGATTTGGGGTCTTGTTTGACTCAAAATTACAGCCTTACAGCCCATCACAAGCATCTGAATACACTGAGTGAAATTTCTTGTTGTTGTTTTAATGACTTATTTTAGGTCTACCAAAGTGACTATAGTTGAAAATCACCTGATGCTGATTAATCTGTATTGTCCCTGGAAAAAAAAAACAACAACAAAAAAAAAATTAAGACATAATGCTAGTGATGGCAGGGACCCTTATTTTAAAGGACATTCTGCTGTGTTTTAGGTGAAGAACAAAGCTCCCGCAGAGGTTCAGATCACTGCTGAGCAGCTGCTGAGGGAAGCCAAAGAGAGGGAGCTTGAACTTCTGCCACCACCACCAAAACAGAAGATCACTGATGAAGAAGAGCTGAACGATTACAAACTAAAGAAGAGGAAGGTAAGTGCTGACCTCGAATTGTCTTCAGTGGCAGCATGTTTAAATTTCGAAATGTAGAAATGTGTTCAGACTGCTCTTAATTGATGTAATCAAATAGGAACAAAGACACTGTTTTTCAGTGAAGAAACAAGTAACTTGTAGCATTTTTTGGCATCAGGTCACATTGTTGTCTGTCTTTTTCTTCAGGGGTTTGAGGACAACATCAGGAAAAATCGAACTGTCATCAGTAACTGGATTAAATACGCACAATGGGAGGAAAGCCTAAAGGAGATCCAGAGGTACTGTGCCTTTTACGAGGATATTTGTTCTGCATAAACCTCAAATTCATGCTTATTTTATTGTCAGATTTAGAAATTCACAGCTGTCCAGTGACAAACCCGTGTCCCTAACCTCCAAGCTTGAATCACAGCTCCATATTGCGCTTAGTCTTCATGTTAAGCATGCTAAGAATAAATCTTACTTTGACATTTCAGGTAAATTTAACCCAGTTTACCTTGAGTTTGTGCTGGACGAAACAGCTGGGTGCTTTCTATTCCTGTTGTTCAGTTTTTCCTCATCACTGGTTCCTCTGGTTTCAGGGCTCGTTCCATTTACGAGCGAGCGCTGGACGTCGATCACCGCAACATCACTCTGTGGCTAAAGTATGCCGAGATGGAGATGAAGAGCCGCCAGGTGAACCACGCCCGCAACATCTGGGACAGAGCCATCACCATCCTCCCACGAGTCAATCAGTTCTGGTATGACTGATTTTAATGACCTCCAGATACACGCTTGACACATTAATTAAAAAGGCCACAGCTCATGATTATTACCATTATCATCAGACCTACTGTGATTTCCTTAAGTCTAAGAAAGTCAATATTTAAAAGAAATATCTGTATTTTTTGTTTAACAAGGACTTCAACTATTTAAAAATAACCAGAATAGTTGCAGATAGTTGTCTTGTTTCTTATTTTTTGTAGGAGGAATAGACTCCTAAATTAAAGCTGTAATTATTTTTTAATTGAACGTAGTTGCTTGAGTTTGTTTAGAATGAGTGTTTGACACTTTGACAAGCCTGATACATGTATGCGACTGTACAACTGGAGGGATAATCTTTGGTGTGTGTTTGCAGCCTCATTTTCTTGTGTTCTTTATTCCTCAACACTTGCTTTAACTTTTTGATGTTTTGCTCTTTGTCCTTTTAACAGGTACAAGTACACCTACATGGAGGAGATGCTGGGGAACGTCGCCGGCTGCAGGCAGGCGTTTGAGCGTTGGATGGAGTGGGAGCCTGAAGAACAGGCCTGGCACTCCTACATCAACTTTGAGCTGCGCTACAAGGAAGTGGACAAAGCCCGCACTATTTACGAGCGATATATCCTTCTGTTGTTATTTTGTTTACCCACAGAGAAGAGCACTTTTTACTGATAGACTAGATGCAGTACAGCTGTTTATTATAGTGGGAGGCCAAATTCAAACTCCATGACTTCATGTGTCGCAGGCTATAGGTCAGCAGCTGATGACTTGTTCCACCTCCAGGTGAGCTGAGAGCAGACCTACCAGTAGCTAACATTTGTTGAGGGCAGCTTTTGTGTTTTTGTAGCATTGTGATAGTATTTGTGATTCATGTACAAATTCCTTGACTTCTCTGCACTTGTCATCGTCCACCCTGAAGTGAAAAACTGGATTAAATATGCTCGCTTTGAAGAGAAGCACGGTTACATCGCTCACAGCAGGAAGGTGTATGAGAGGGCAGTGGAGTTCTTCGGAGAGGAACATGTGGACGAAAATCTCTTTGTGGCCTTTGCCAGGTTTGAGGAGACACAGAAGGAGGTGAGACTTCAAAACGTGCTTTACGTTTATACTTTTCAATTAGTTGCCTGAGAGCTATTACACCTACTGATATTCGTCATCCTAGACTTAACTGAATTGAATCTGCTGGACTATCTTTTGGCACGTACTTACTGTTCCTTCCTTTACAGTTTGAGCGTGTTCGAGTGATCTATAAGTACGCTTTGGACAGAATCCCGAAACATCAGGCACAGGAGCTCTTCAAGAACTACACGATGTTTGAGAAGAAGTTCGGAGACCGGAGAGGGATTGAGGACGTCATCGTCAGCAAACGAAGGTTCCAGTACGAAGAGGAAGTGAAGGTATCGGCTGTGGAATAGTCGAGTCTGGAAATGTGTGGAAACTAGAAGCTCTGTTCCTTTTTTAAAATTCATATGAATCTGAACATAGATACAGATAGAATTAAATCACATAGAGCTGCACAATTATGGCCAAAATGATAATCACATTCATCTTGATCTGTAGTGAGATCACTGTCATTTACCGCGAATGATAAGACTACTGAACAAAATGTGTAGTGGCAACAATGTAGAGTATGCTGGGCACTAGAGGGAGATGTTCAAGTGGTGGCAAACACCAAACAAAATCTCCAAATCTGATGAGTACAATTTTTTTTATCTCTCATATTCATCCAGGCAAATCCACACAACTACGACGCCTGGTTTGATTACCTCCGCTTGGTGGAGAGCGACGCCGACCCCGACACTGTGAGAGAAGTTTACGAGAGAGCCATCGCCAACATCCCCCCCATCCAGGAAAAGAGACACTGGAGGCGATACATTTACCTGTGGATCAACTACGCCCTGTACGAGGAGCTGGAAGTCAAGGTTAGCTCATCGTCCACCTTCATTTTACCACATATTTGTGATGTTGCCCAGGTGGAACAATTCAAACAAAAAAAAAGGGAAATAGACTAAAAAAAAAAAAGTTAAGATCATTTAGTCAACCAAACAAACTCTGCAGTAACATTTGTCTTGCTTTTTTCAGGATCCTGAGAGAACGAGGCAGGTGTACCAGGCCTGCTTGGACCTAATCCCTCATAAGAAGGTAACTTACACGTTTACTCTTCAAAGACAAGGTCCCTTCAGTAAATTCAGAATGCTTATACTGTGGTTAACATTACAGTAATACTGTTGTTGCTGTTGTTACCTGATTGTGGCAGTCTATCTGGTTTTTGTTTCAGTTCACATTTGCTAAGATTTGGCTGCTCTACGCTCAGTTTGAGATCCGCCAGAAGAACCTGCAGGGAGCCAGGAAGGTCATGGTGAGATTTAACAATCACACTGTATATACTTGTCATTAGGATCAACGTAGAGACAGAAATCAAGGTGGAAGTAACATTCTCGTGGGTGACACGTTCATTCATTGACTAAATGAAGACTGTAGTTCAATAGTTTAAGGCCAAAGTGCCAAAGGCTCTTTCAAGGGAGACCTGGAGGACAACATGGAAATACTGTCAATAAGATGCATCCACAGGTTATGGGATTCCAAAGCTAAATCAAGGAAAGGAGATGCATTCTGACTGGATGCATACGTGCTTCTCACTGATGAGCGTTTCTTTTTTCAGGGCACAGCGATCGGTAAATGCCCGAAGAACAAACTGCTGAAGGGCTACATCGAGCTGGAGCTTCAGCTACGAGAGTTTGACCGCTGCAGGAAGCTGTACGAGAAGTACCTCGAATTCAGTCCAGAAAACTGCACCACCTGGATCAAGTTCGCAGAACTGGAGACGATCCTGGGAGACATCGACAGAGCGCGCGGCATCTTCGAGCTCGCCATTGGACAGCCACGTCTGGACATGCCAGAGGTATTGAGAACAGTATTGATCATGTAGATATTGTTTTAAAGCTGTAGGGTTAGGCTTACATTTTTCCACTGCTGCGTTAGTTTGTCAGATATCTGTATATACAGTCTTCATAACAACAGGAAGAGTAAGTGTTAGTCTTCCAAGAAACGTAGGAAGAGTTTATCAGGATGCTTTATGACAGTCAGGATTTCTGAGTCGATGCTTCTACATTCTTATTTTATCACTGCAGCATCACTGTATCAGAATAACACAAGCCGACTTTGTGATGAAAATAAATTCAAATTAAAGTCTTGGTTGTATTTTATTAGTTAATAATACCAATAATTATACATGTAATATTTGTCAGACAGAGTTTATCAGGCATTAGCTGTTTTTATTTTTCTCACGCTTTTAACTTTCTTACATGCAGTGCGTCACATAACTAGAATATCATCAAACAAAGATTGTAATTGTTCCTGGACTGTTTTTTTTTTTTAGACTTACCTGAATATTTGGAAATTATTTCTAGTGTTTCTCCAGCTTCTTATTCTAGCTTAGGCTCATCATGAACAACCAATGTCTGTGAAGCTCAGTAAAGTAGAAATCCAAAACATTTAAACATCAAGTGGTGGAAAATTGTGGTTTTTTTTGGTTTAGAAATATCTCTTTCTCCCTTTCAAGTGCTGAAACTGTCGGTGTATTTATGTCTGTTCTCTTCCAAGGTTCTGTGGAAATCATACATCGACTTTGAGATCGAGCAGGAAGAGTTTGGAAACACCAGAAACCTTTACAAGAGGCTGCTGCAGCGCACTCAGCACGTCAAGGTGAGAACTGCCCTCCAGCTTTCTGATTGTATAGAAGAAAACGATATTCTTCAAATCTCATTCAGATATATTTACATTGTGAGTGTTGCAATCTGAGTGAATCTAAACCTTAGTGTGCCAATAATGTGAGATGAAATAAAAGAATTAGTTTCAGGCGAGTGGTGCATTTCGGCAGCACAAAACATACTATTGTTACAAGGAGATGGTGGATTTATTATAAACTACTCATTGGACCTCCATTTTTAAAATAACACCAGCAATGATTGTTGTAATAATTCTAAAAACCACTTGCCCTTGTCTTCTCATGCAGGTTTGGATCAGCTACGCCAAGTTCGAGCTGTCGATCGACGGCCCCGACCGGCTGCAGAAGTGCCGACAGATCTTCGAAGAGGCCAACAAAAGCATGAGGAACTGTGAGGAGAAGGAGGAGCGGCTGATGCTGCTCGAGTCCTGGAGGGACTTCGAGAAGGAGTTCGGCTCCGACACCACCAGAGAACGGGTCCGGAAGCTGCTGCCAGAGAAGGTGAAGAAGAGGAGGAAGCTGACGGCTGAGGACGGGGTAAGAACTGGGAGTCAACCAGCAAACTGGAGTAAAACCAGCTGCCTGGGCTGGGTCTTTGTGCAGCTTTTTCCTCCCCAAATGTTTTCCTTTCTTGTGTCTTGAAGGTCTTTTGGAATGTACACAGGCATTTGACTACATTCATTCAAATTTCTTCTTTTTTTTGTCTCTCGATTAAAATAACTAGAAAACAGTGGAAACGTAAATAATAATCTATCAGAGAACAGTAGCAGAATGACATGCAGAGAATTCACCAAGTGACAATCAATTATTGATGCAAGATAAAAGTATGAAGTCTTGAATTGGTCTGATTAGGCAAAAATCAAGATTTTTTTTAAAGAGTCTTTAAGTAGGACTAAACTACTGTAAACTTTCTCTGAAGTCAGCATATTTTTTAAGTCATTTATCAAACTAAAGTGACAAGTCTCTGGCTTTAACTTGTCAAATGTAAGAAGTTGCTGCGTCTTATTTCTTTGTAAATAGATATATATTTTTAACTGTCAGTTGGACAAAGCAAGAAAAAGACATTTCAAGGTGTCACTGACAACAAAAATCATCCTTGTAGCTCCAGGTGTTAATCAGTCTCTCTCTCTTTGATCTTAGTCGGATGCAGGCTGGGAGGAGTACTACGACTACATCTTTCCAGAAGATGCCGCTAACCAGCCCAACCTCAAGCTGCTTGCCATGGCCAAGATGTGGAAGAGGCAGCAGATAAGCGAATACGACAATCTTCCAGAAAACGATGCGACGGCTGAAGAGACGACATCACCATCCTCTGAAGTACCTGCAGCCGCTCCTGGAAATCAGCCGGAGAACGAGTCCGGCAGAGACACTGTGACTGAGACCCAACAGGAGGGCACATACGACGACCGAGATGATGCAGGCAGCAGCAGCAGCAGCAGCAGCAGCAGTAGTAGTGGCAGCGGTAGTGGCAGTAGCAGCAGCAGTGAGAGTGATGGCGATGATGATGATGATGATGAGAAGAAGAAGAAGGAGGAGGAGGAGACGAGGAGCAGTGAAGAAGATAAAGATTAGACTCCTCGCTCAGTGACACGAGGGAACCGGACAGTCACACTGATTTTTCTACTGTTTGTTTTTTGTTTTTTTTTTAAACAACAAAACCAGCTCATGAGCAGTCTTTATTGTATGCTTTCTTTGTGCCATTATACATACATCAACTGAGCCTCACTTGTGGTTTTTTTTCTTAAGCAAATGTTCATTTAGAATTTACAAGAAATTAAAACTTTTCAATTCATCCAGGATGTTTTGTACAATCAGTGGCTCTCTGACTAATGAGCACTGAGAATGGGGGAAGCAGCCTGTGTGACACTTTTACTATGTACAACGTCACTGAGCAGGAGCTGAAATCACAACATTACAGCTGATTATCAGGATAAAGGGAGTCAGAGAGCCACGGTCTACTGTTATTCGATGTCTTCTGGTCTGACAGGATGTGGCAGTGGGATGATGGACTTCTTTTCTGTGTCTCTGGACAGAGCTTTCCTCATATCTGCAGGAAGACACAAGAAAGTCATTAGTTTTGCAGGTTAGGTTTCTGCTTTATCAGCTGTTGGTCCTGGAGGAACAGCGCCCTCCTCTGGTTGTGTTTAATATCAAACTCCAGCCTGTCAACATAAAAAAGAAAAAGTGCAGAGGTTTTGTATACTATTCTTCTACAGTTACAACAGCTATTTAATGTCACTAAACATTCATGTAATTACTAAAGGTAGGTACTTAATTTATGTTTAATTTGTGCAAGGTTTAAAAAAAAACCTCCGAAGTGAACGCGACAGACCCTCAAAAGGTCACAGTGAGAATTTTTTGAGGACTAATTTCGAGTTCCCTCACAATCTGCTTTATATCGACTCATATGAACAGCTGCTGCGTTGGTCCTGTCCATTTTTAACACACTAGTTTAGAGAAATGCTCTGTTTTGTGTGGGGAGATGACACGACACTTTACGTTATTATCCTGTTTGTTTTAAAAGGTCGATCTCAGACAGCATCCAGCTGCTCTGCCTGGCTGTGGCTTCTACATGTCTGTAGATCCAGTTTACATATCAAACTGCTAATGGTGTACCTGATCTACGTAGGCCTACAGGATCTAAAAACACCCGCTGCTACTTATTAAAAAAAAAAAAAAAAGAAGAAGAAGAAGTAGGGATGTGGGCTTTCATTGATCTTACCGTAAGCGTCCTCGTCAGGTTCTCCATTGCTAGCTGAGTAATATTCTATCACCGTCCTGTAGACGCTGTAGCCCAGACGTTTGTACATGTTCACCGCCACCTGGTTGGATACTCGTACGAACAGATCCACAAAGAATCCCCCCTTCCTACAAGACATTGAAAATGACATGATTTATTCTATGATTGAGAAATACCTCCAGTCGTTGGCTCATCATCTGTTGATCTTTAGACAGAAAACACTGAGCTGAGGGAGTTTTACGCTTCACAAAACCTTCAAAAAGACTGGGTTACAGAACTTTGTGTGGCATCGAGGCACTGCTCTGTGAAAGTTTCTTGATCACTGGAAATCCATCCATCCAT